TATGCAGGGAATGGCAAGAAATATTCAAAGTGATGAATAGCAAGAACCTACAACCAAGATTACTTTACCCAGCAAAGCTATCATTCAGAATTGAAGGTCAGATAAAGAGTTTCACAAATAAGAAAAAGCTAAAGGAGTTCATTACCACAAAGCCAATTTTAAATGAAATGTTAAAGGGTTAGTGAAGTCTCCAGGCATTATTCCTGTGATTCAGTATTGAAAGATTATCTAGTATTAAGTAGGTATTTCATTAAAAACTCAGTAAAATAGGGGACTCTTTCCCCTTCCCCACATGAGAGTCTGTGCTGTGAGGTTCTTTCCCCCTCCCCATGTAGGAGTCTGTACTTCAATAAATTTACACCTTTGCTATACTAAAAATATATTAAAATAATAATAATTTAAATAAAATCATCTAAAAGCCTTTGTGAAAGATAAGTAGTTTGTTGTGTTTTGTTTTTTTTTAATTTAAAAATTTTTTTAATTTCAAAGAGAGGAAAGGGGGAAGGAGAGAGATAGAAACATCAGTGATGAGAGAATCACGGATCACCTGCCTTCTGCACACAACCTGGTCATGTGCCCAGATTGGAAATTGAACCATGACTTCCTGGTTCATGGGTCAACTCAATCGCTGAACCACATTGGCCGGATAGTAGTTGTTATTTTGTTGCTCTATAGGTCAACTCTTTAAGTTTAGATTTTTGTCCCATATATAAATTGCCATTTTAGTTTTGCTAGTGCTAGAAACTTAAGCAGAAGTCTAATGAGACAATTTTTCCCCCCTACTAGATTCTTATCAAGACAGAGATCCCCTAAGGGTCTCTGTAAGTCGAGAACAAAGTTTTCTTAGGACTCCATTGGACTGTGATCCATTTTCTCATCCTCACCCGATTGCCCAGGAGAACATCTGTGGTGACAATGCTAATGAAACAGGTGAGAGATAAAGACATTGAAAGTGGAATTGATGTGCACAAGGTATTTATTGTAGTGTTATTTGTAATGAAAAATGGTAAATAATTCAATGACTCTTTGGAATTAGAATCATTATGGTGCACCCATACTATGTGATTCTGTGTAGTGTTAAATGACGAGAGAAATCGTGTTCATGCATTGAAAAATATCTGATGATAATCACCAAAATGTTGGTACAGGTTTACTATTTTTGGAGACTGGCTGGGTTTTACTTTCTATTTATATGTTCACCTATAGATTTTTTTTTTTTAAATAAGCATGTATTCTGTAGAGAAAAAATTGAATGAGAGAAGTGAAGTGTATTTAAAGAATAATTAACTTTTCTTTTTAATTGTTTCACTAAATAAATGCTAGCAGGGAGTATTTGAAGGTATGAGATTTTTATAGTTGGCGACCTGTATAAATTTTGTGTTTAAGCCTTTTCATAACAATTCACAGTCACTACTATTAAACATTGTCTTTCAAAAATTCTACATGTGGTTTTCTACATGACTTGTTTTGTTTTACTTTTAAATATTTGGAAAATAAAAAGGTTACAAGAAAAAAACAACAACATTAAATAACATAACTCTGCCACCCAAAGACAACCAGTTTGTGTTAAGTTTCTCACTTTTGTATTTATGTATGTATATAAAAAGCTGTTTTACATGTATATTATGCTTACTAACCATACAAAGCGTAGTTCTAGTAATGCTTTATTAGTTCTAAAGCAACTTTTAAGCAGTTACTTTTTCTAACCAGATTTCTTTTTATTTTAGCTGTCACATATACTTGAATAATTCTCGTAGTTTCATCTATAGTATAATAGAATGAGATGTGAGACCTTTTCTTTTTGAGGATTTATAGAAAAATTGACTTTAGCATCTTTTTTTATGATTATTATTATTAGAGATTGAAATAACTGCAGAGAATATAATTTCCAATAAATTACATACAGTTTTTGCCCTAGCTGGTTAAAGGGTCCCAGGTTCGACGCCAGCAGACTAAAGGGTCCCAGGTTCGACGCCAGCCAAGGGCACATGCCTGGGTTGCGGGCTCAGTCCCCAGTAGGGGCCATGCAGGAATCAGCCAATCAATGATTCTCTCATCATTGATGTTTTATCTCTCTTTCCCTCTCCCTTCCTCTCTAAACTCAACAAAATATATGTTTAAAAGAATTACGTATAATTTTTAATACATAAAGTAAAACTACTACATTATTATTTTAGATTTAGCTAAAGGAGACTTGTATTTCCTTTTTGTTCTACCTGTTGATGCCCTCTAGCCAAAAACTACCAGGAACACGCCTGTGGTTGAACAAAGCTGCAGTTTTGATTTTTTATAGTCAAAGGTAGAAGGCCACTTCAGGGAACAATGAGATATCTCAATAAGAGGGTATTTGAAAGGACTTACTGGTCCCTGATCTGGTAGCTCAATTGGCTCCCAATACATTAAGGTTTGTGGGTTCAATCTTTGGACAGAGCACATATATAAAAATCAACCAATGAATGCATAAATAAGTGGAACCAACAAATCAATGTTTCTCCTTTTAAATCAGTAAATAAAAGACTTAGTGTAAGACTTGGACTTCTATTAGGTTATTTTGTGAAAGATTCAAGGAAATGGGCCCCTGTTTATTAGTATTGGATGTTATCAGAGAGCAGGGGTACCTAAAAAATTCTTATTCAGGAGGTGCCCTGTTTCCCCGAAAATAAGACAGTGTCTTATATTAATTTTTGCTCCCAAAGATGCACTAGGTCTTATTTTCAGGGGATGTCTTATTTTTCCATGAAGAAGAATACAGTACACATTTATTGTTAAATGAAAATAAAGGAAATTTATTACCTGTATACGGTACGATAGTACGGTAGTTGTCAACACAAACCAGACAAACTGTGAATCCTACAGTATCAAGAATTTACTCATTTATTCAATGACAATCATGTCATCATCTTCTGGAACATCATCATAACAATCCAATTCCTGAATTTCCTGGTGAATTTCTTGTGACTCCATTTCTTTCAGAATCAGTGAACCAAATCTCTCATGTTTAGCCTAGGGGAGCCTTATTTTCGGGGGGATGCCTTATATTTCACTCAGAAGGAAACCTGTAAGTAGGTCTTATTTTCGGAGGATGTCTTATTTTTGGGGAAACACAGTAGGAATAATGGGATGAAGCTAATAAAAGCTGTAACTGGTAAAGAAGCAGTAGTCATGCATATTAGCCAGGATAAGATGCTTACTAATATTTGTGGTCTGGACTAGATTCATGATTGTGATTGTGTCTCTGTTCAGAGATGAGAGTGGGTGGTCTGGTTTTTGTCTTGTCCATCATGGTCACAGAGTGGCCTTTTCTGATATTGGTGTTCTGTGGAATTGTTATGTGTAACAGAGCACCTGGGTCTAGCTAAGAGAGAGTGCCGGATCAGTTCCTGGCTCTTGGCTGCCTTTCTCCTTCTCATATGCATCCCCAGATTTCTATTGTTTCTATCTTAGAAGGGAAGGTCTTAGTTTTTGTTACTTCTCCATTCCCTCCCTACCACTTTACTCAGTACTTCATCACCTCACCTTTCTTTCTTAATAGCTTTGTAGGTGGTATTGCTGACTTCAAGCTCTGTGCCCACTGCTTGTGTAGGAAGGCAGGAAATGGGTTTTGCTTCTGAAGGAAAGCCAGAACTGTTGCCCTCCTCATAGCATGGAAGAGTCTCTGTTTAAGGTTTTGCTTTCATCCCCTTTTTAGGGACCTTCCAATGGGTCCCTCCTCCCACTGAACCATTTCCAAACCAAATAATTTCAGGGACCTGTTCACTGAATTCTTTTTTTTTTTTTTTTTTTTTAAATATATTTTATTGATTTTGTACAGAGAGGAAGGGAGAGAGATAGAGAGCTAGAAACATCGATGATAGAGAGTCATCGATCAGCTGCCTCTTGCACACCCCCCGCTGGGGATATGCCCGCAACCAAGGTACATGCCCTTGACCGGAATCGAACCCGGGACCCTTCAGTCCCCAAGCCGACGCTCTATCCATTGAGCCAAACCGGTCCCGGCTCACTGAATTCTTCAATGTCTTAAATAACTGATCTTGCTCCTTTCTCCAATTTTTTTTTTTTAATTTTATTGGTTACAAAGAGGAAGAGAGAGGGAGAGAAAGCGATAGAAACATCAATGATGATTGAGAACCATCGATCGGCTGCCTCCTGCACTCCCCACACCAGGGACCAAGCCTGAAACCCTGACATTGTCCCTGACCCAGTTTTTATTTTTTACTTCTTACCACTATTCAAATGCTACCCCGTTCACTTATCTCTCCTCTTGGGGAATCTTCTTCAAAAGGGTTTTATTCATAGAAAAACCATGACAACTACAGTTTTCCAGGGGTGGGGGGAAGTATATTGTGCTGACTAGTAAATGTTTGAATGATAAAATGAATTTTTTTCCTTTTAATTTTTTTTAGTCTAAGATAAGGCAACTCTACGAAGCAAAATATGAAAAAACATTTTTTAGGAAATGATGCTCTCTGGAGCTAAGAATTTGATTTGTCATAATCCAAATCTTCCTCCCTCCCCACTCGCCCCCTTTTCAGTCAAGGTTAAAGAGACTGTGGTTGAGAATCAGGCAGTATTAACTTATGCTGTGGACAAAGAAGAACGTACATATCTGAGCGCAGCTAAAAGGCCAGTTAATAAGGTTGGTAATGTTTTAGTGTGCACTACATTGTTAGAGCTGTTTGGCTTTATATTCTCTTTTGTTTAGTTCATAAACGTTGTGAAATACTAAAGACTCTGTTCTCTGAGATCTGCTCCTACTGAAGTGGATCAGTGATGAAAATAGCCAAATCTGAGCATCAGAAGACCTTTCAGTCTACCTGATGCATGATCTCTGTAGTTCTGAGAAGCAAAAGTATAAAGTAGTTTAAAACAATAAGTACGTACGTGTGTGTGTGTGTGTGTGGGTGTGTGTGTGAAGGTGACAGTGGATAACTGAGGACTTGCTGATGGATGAGTGAGATTGGGGGGGCAGGGCATGTATGTATGAAAGGCTGGTCAGGTCTGAGCAATGATGACAAGATTTGACTACTGAACTTCGAAATTATGAAGGTTTCTCTATACTTGATCTGAGCTCAAAATTGGCAATTGCTGATGTTTTTCTAGATTTTTACTTCTTACATTGTGGTCTAATGTTCCCCTTATTTTTAGGCTGAAACACAGGAGATTTATCATGAGCCATCATCTTCAATAACTATTTCTACTGGAAGCTTAAGTACTGAAAACACAGATTTGAGCTTTACAGATCCAGGTAATAATGTCAAAATGTCTGTAAATAACTTGAAAGACCAGCACCAGTTCAGTTGTAGTACAATGATGAGAGCAAGCATTGCTTTTCACATTGTGCTGAGAGGGATTATTATTTTTTTAATTACAAAAGTGAAGTTTTTATGTCTGTTAGAATATTGGATATGATATTCTAAACATAATCGGAAGTCACAGGCATGCAGATCCTTGAGTATGCTCTGTGGATTCCCAACAGTACTTTGAGAAGTATCCACTAATGGTCACATTTTCCCACTCAGTAGGAAGCTATCTCAGCAAATATCTTGATTGCACCGATTCCTTATCAGTGTTGCTATATCTCTCACCAAAATTTCTCTAAGTAACTATCCATTAAATATTGTAATTAATCTCAGTTATTAGAGTCATTTTCAGAGCATGTGGAACATGGGGAACAAGGATTTACCACTGGCAAAGCAGCAGCAGCGAATATTTTAAGTTCTACAGTTCCTCCATCACAAGTTAACCTCTGTCCCCTGCAGCAGAAAAATTTATACCTGGTCAAGCACACACATTCAGCAGATGATAGACAAGTACATAAATGAAACAAATTTAATGACTGAAAAAACAGACTTGGAGGGTAAATTATCTTGAACACATGCTTTTATATAAACTGTAACTTTTAACTTTTTATCCCTTTTAGTTTTGAGTGGTGATTGATTGAGCTCCATGTTTTTATGGCCTGCTACAGCACAGTCATGCTATGGACAGTGTTGAGGGCATTTAGTGAGATCAGGGACATGGAACCAGTTAGATTCACAGAAGAACAAGAGCTCAGCAGATCATCCTCCACCATACAACTGGAGGGCAGTATGTGTTGTCGGTATTGAGAACAAGAATTCAGAAGTCAAGCAGACGTGGATTTGACTCCTAGTTTTACCATTTTACTAACTGTGAGACCATGAGCAAGATACTCTTTCATCTTCTATAAAGAGGGGTATTGGAGATGAAATGGAATAATGTACATAAAGTACAATGTCTGGCCCATAGTAACACTCAGATTTTCTGTTTTTAATCATTGACCTGAAATGTGCTACGTCAGAATAACAAAGCTTATAGCAAAGTAGTGATCACAATGGCCTCTGACACCTAATTAATCTCATAAAATTTTGGGCCTGGTAGAAATGGAGACATATTTGTGAAAGATTTTGATCATTGAATGTGTCCTCATTTTTTATGCATTGTAAGTAATAAAGGACCTAATTTGAAAACTTCTGTTGGTAATGAAAACAATGGATTTTTGTTTAATGGGATTTGCCTAAAAAGTTTTTATAAATATGTTCTTAGTACTACCTTTCTAGGCTTTATTTGAAAAAGAAATTCATCTTCTCCTCCCCCCCTCAAAATTCCAACAGTTGATCTTGACTTCCCTGAATTGGAATACATTTTTCCAAGCTTGCATCGTCAGCTGTTTAAACCCTTGGAACCACAGCCAGATTTTGATTTGTCATCCTTATCCTTCGGGATTTCTGAAGAGAGCAGGGACCAGGTATGTTAAAGTGGATGCTTCATTTCACTGAATTGCCAAGAACAGTTTGCCAAATTTTCGTCCTTTAGAACAGAACAGTGGTTGTTAATCTTGGTTGCCAATGAAAATCATTTGGAAAGCTTTTAAGAATCCCAGTGCCCAGATGGCACCCAGACCAGAATCTCTCAGATATCAGGATTTCTTTTAAAGCTCCCAAAGTGACTCTAATGCGGAACCAAAATTGAAAGAAGTTGCATTAGAATTGTAATTCAGCCTTAAACAGTTCAGGTAAATACAGTTTTGCAAAATTTAAAGTCTCTTCCTACCCAAGGGGTTAAGACTCAAACCACGGTCTTTCTACTACTTCCTGACATCCTGGGTTGCTATACATAATTCCTGCCTATCAGAAAATGATGTCAGCTCTGGCTGGTGTGGCTCAGTTGGCTGAGCTTCATCCCATGCACTGAGAGGTAACTGGTTCAATTCCCCTCAGGGTACATGCCCCAGTATCAGGCTCAGACCCCAGTAGGGAATATGTAGGAGGCAGGCAATTGATGCTTCTCTCTCATCGATGTTTCTTCCACCCTAATATCAATAAAACATATATATACATATATACATATACATATATATACATATATACATATACATATATATACATATATACATATATATATATATATATATATATATATATATATATATATATATATATATGTAATTTATTTTTTAAATGAGCCAAAACCAGTTTGGCTCAGTGGATAGAGCTTCGGTCTGCGGTCTGAAGGGTCCCGGGTTCGATTCCGGTCAAGGGCATGTACCTTGGTTGCGAGCACATCCCCAGTAGGGGGTGTGCAGGAGGCAGCTGGTCGATGTTTCTCTCTCATCGATGTTTCTAGGTCTCTATCCCTCTCCCTTACTCTCTGTAAAAAATCAGTAAAATAAAAAGTAAAAAAATAAAATGATCTCATCATGTTCTAAACTCAATCTGGTTAATTTGTAATTTGTTTTATAGATGATCTCTTTTTAAAAGTCTTTCATATTGACTAAAATGGAAGTAGGTTTGAATAAGCTAATTATTAGTGTGAGTCAGTTGGCAGTTAAGGAAGAGTAATATCAAAGGAACATGATTACTGACTCAACTTGTAATACCTAATCAACACTTGAGCATTTCCCTGTTGTTTTCCATCAGAGCTCAGAGGCGTCAGGTGAAAGCCACCATGCAACTCTCTCCCCCAAAAGAACAGCACTGAGGAGGACCAGCCTGCCTTCTCTTAACACAAGCCTGAGCCAGCAACCTGACCCTAACCTGACTCGTGCTGCAGCTCTGAGTTTTGGCACAGAAAATATTATTGAGGGTATGTATGATTCAACTACAAAAAGTTTAAAACCCAATATATTTTTCTTGATTGTTTGCATCCATTTTTCTTGAAAATTGTGCCTAACAATTCTTGGTTTTTCTCCATTCCTGTTCTCACCTCTGCCCCCAGTGCTACAAGTTTTTTCTTTGTGTATTCGTTTAAATAACAGAGGTAATATATGCTTACTTGGCAATTTTCAGAGTAGTGGACTTGATAAAAAAAAAGTTCTTACTCAACTTCCCTACCTCAATACTTAATCAACAACTTATCCTAAAACTTTTTGCACAAATTTTATGTACACATAAATACACAAGATACACACGTTTTAACTTTGTTATTGCAAAATCAATTTTTTATGGCGGAAAAATCTCATTGTTTTGAATAGTCGTATTTTAAAAAAATATTAAAATAGAAAATACATGGTGGTGTGAGCATTAGTGTTATTTGAAAGTCACTGTGACCACCCTTTAGCTTTTTATTCATGTTTATATATATCAACTTTCCTAAAATTATAGGAACTAACCTTTGCAATTTATGCAAAGTATTAGGTACTGTATTTCTAACCAAGTTTTATAACATACGATGATTAACTGATCTCTTAAACTTAATTGCAGGATCTGAACAATCTTTTCAACAGCTTCTGCCAGAATTTTCTTCACAGGAGGGGAGCCAGCATGCTGATCTACCAAGTATTTTTAGTATTGAAGCAAGAGATTCTTCCCAGGGCATGGAAAATCAGTACTCCTCTGAATCAACTGAAGTATTACAAAATAAGGGGAAAAATGTTCATTTCCAACTCTCCGCAGGAAATTTGAAAAGTCCAGTCTTCACTTCATCTGCTGAGGCTAATGTATTTCATCAATTAAATATACCACATAGTACTCCATGTGGTTCTATCACTAGTGAGTGCTCAATGAAAGACCAATTAGAAGGCCAAAGAGAAGGCCTGGGCTTTGACGAACTTTCAGAAAGGGGGGTTGATAAAGTGTTACGCAGTCAAGGGTTCACTGAAGAGAATAAAAATGAAACCTGTGGAGTTTTAAGTGTAAATCTTCATGTACAGGAAATTGACTCACAATTATGTGTAAGAACAGTGGAGATGGGAACTTCAGTTCAGATAGCCCATACTATTCAGAATGAAAAATATTTTGAAAACTCTACTAAAGCAGAAAATCCAAAAATCATACCAAACCTATCTCAGCCATCACAGTCAGAGCTGTTTTCCACTTCTGGATCATTTTCACTACAGAACTCTATTCCAGTCTGGGTAAGTGAATTCTGCATTGTACAAATAGCATTTAGAATGCTTTTCCAATATTTTTTTTAAATATTTGCGTTTTTAGTTAAGATACTGGCCAAAAAATGCACACACAAACGTGTGTGTATGTGTACTAGTAGAGGTCAGTTAATCGTATGTTATAAAACTTGGCTAGAGATACAGTCCCTAAAAAATTTACATATTCTAGTATATATAAGTATACATGTTATAAATTAAGAGTAATTATTAAGAGTAAAAATAATAGTTTCCAAACCAGCAATTAAAATAGAAAATAACTTTAATTCACTCAAAGGCAGAAAAGAACAAAATAACATTCAACAACAAAAAAAATTAAAACAGCATAGAAGTCCAAACCCAGGGGCACTTTTGAATCAAATTTTAAGAGAAACAACAAAGCTAATCATCAGAAATCTCCAAATTTTGAGATCTCTGGATTTTACTAAATTTTCCTCATATACCTTCTCAGCTTCACTGAAGAATGTTGGCCAACCCATGCTTCAGCACTTTCAGTGTTTGACCCCATTGCATTGCACTGAGTCAATCCAGTGATTTTTTTCAACCTTTTCCATCTCATGGCACACATAATTACTAAAGTCCTAAGGCACACCAAAAATTTATGTGGATCTGATTTTTTTTTAAATGGTATGATTTAGATTTCTTTATACAAGATGGCTCCTTGTGCATTGCTGTTATTTTTGACAATCTGTAAGGGCAAAGAGGTCAGTGCCTGGCTAAAGTGTCACAGTGCACCAGTTAAAAATTGCTGCAATAATCCATATTTTGTTTCAACTCATCACCTATTGCTTGTCAACATATAGACCACAGACATGATTTGATCCATTGTAAATTCTTGTTTACTTTTTAAAGGATGGTATTTCCCTTAAATTAACCTGGCAGCAGTGGCCTGCATTTGGCTTTAACCCATTAGTGCTACTCCCTTTAGTCTATGCCCTCTGGTTCCCCGCTAAGGCCTGTGATCCTTTGGGTGTATAATCCTTGCAGAAGGTATTTTCAATTACATTTTTTCAACCCCCCCCCCCCCCCCCCCGAGTCCTCCAGTATTTCTAAAAGTAGGGGTGCACTGCTCCTTTGTTGTGGTTCTTCCTCCAGAATTTAGTTTCACATATTGAATGTTTTAAGGCTATTACTTTTGGACATGGTTTTCTTGATATGGTTTTATTTTTAATATTACTGCACAGGAGACAGAGTCTGGCCACGGGATAATGGAAGAACCAGAACTTACATTAGTAAGCAGCAGTGACATCAGTATTACTGAAATGGATTTTGCAAACTTATCAATAGAAGAAAAAGATGACGCAAAAAGTTTTCAGGTAATTGTCATAATTATACACTTGATACAGCAACCCATAGCCAAGAATTAGGGAACATTAAAAAAGATACTGGTTTCACTTTTCTTTTCCACAAGTCCATTCTTTTTCCCATTAGAATTATCTACAAACTAACTCTTCCCTATATTGTGGTTTTCTGCAAGTGCAGTCGACTCCAATAAACAGGCAGCTTATTGTGCTCAGAGCAGAATCTGACAGTTGACAGGAAAGAAATCGTCCTCAGTGTTTTACTTTTTAAACTCAAGCCAAAACATATGCCAGGGAAGATCTCAGATGCTTCTCAATACATGTTTCTGATGCTCTAGATTTCACTCGGGCGTGGGTTAGAATTGTTTCAAAGCTGAGGCAGCAAGATAAGGAAATCTAGAACTGAAATGGATATAAAAAATGCTATTCTATTGCTTTAGGAATTTACTCTGAGAATTTAGACTTATTTCAAATACTATTAAATGCACACTCCCATTCCTTTTTTCCACAAGCAAATCATTTGTATCTTGCCTGGCTCATAATGAATTCTATGCAAGTGTTTTTGGGAACTAATGCCTAATCAGACAGATAATCAGAGGGAAACTTGAGGAGGGAAAGTAGGCTTGGCTTAGGTGGAAAGTTATATTCTCCAGTACAGCTGGCCAAATTGATTCCCTAGCCAGAAAAAATCCTAAAGCTGAAGAGTTTAGCTAAACTTTGCTATACTTAAGATTTCATCTGTGACTTTCTTGCAATTAGGAGAGTGAATTTTTGCCTCTTGTACCAGACCAGAAAACAGCTGCAGTATCTGCAGGTATGCCTTAAACATCAGAATCTAAGGGCTAGTGGGAATTCCCTCAAGTTGAAGTTACAAGCTTGCCATGTTGCTCAATGAGGTGAAAATAGCTAACTTTTTCCCCCACCAGAAACCCTCTCAAAGTTTACAGCTGTACCAGGAAGCTTACAAGAAGCATTTGCAAAGAGAAAAAAATCATTTATAGAGAGATCCTGCCAGAGACAGAAAGAAATAAGGAATAAAATACATGTCTCTAGAAATACTGAAAGCCAAGTAGTTAAGGCAACACTTAATATAGGTAAGTTCTCAAAAACATTTGTTTAACTTTCAGAAAGGAAATCTGGCTTATCAAATTACTTGAATCTGGCTCACATTACTTTTTCTCTGCTCAGGTTCACCTGTGAGTGGCCTAAAAAGTAAAGTTAAAGTGTCACTTTCCAAAGACAGAAAGACTGCACAAATCCTCAAGAACCAAAGGACTCCAAGGTGTGTATATGTGGGTGGGTGCATGCGTGCTTTGTATTAATGATGATCACATATCTGTCTTTAATTCCACATAAATTTCTTATAGGTTACACAACCAGTTAGCTGAAGTAAAAGGGCAAAATGAAGAGAAAGCAAAACAAGAAGCTTATGCCCAAAACATAGCTCGAGCAAAAGAATTTCATAAGGTGAGTAAGGTGCAAAGTGGTTTTTCATGTCAAAGATACACAATTGAAACTAAATTTTACTTTTATTCCCTCCACAGAAAACACTAGAGAAACTTCGAGCCAAAGTGCATGCTGACTTTCTACAAAATGTATAGAGGGCTTTTATTATTTGTAACATAGTCACAATTATTTAAAGTTAATAAACTTTTATTTATTTAAGGAATTTCACATGTTCTAAGTTCTTCCACTGCCTTAGTTCCTCTTGAGTTTGCGTCTTAATCATCTTACTCCCTAAAAGAAGAATAGCAGTGGTTAAACTTGGAAAATTTATTTACTTTCCCACCTCACCAATCACTAATATGAGTAGCTAAATCATATATCTCTTCAGGACAAAATAGACACTATTAAGAGTGTCTATTACATCCTATGGAGAACTTCAATTTTAGGTCACAGCGTTAAGAGCTCCTGGTTTTAGTTCCATAAGCTCTCTTTGAAATGACCCATAAATTACTATTTTTCAGATGTGTACATACCTTTTTTCCCCCCTCAATCCTGATGTCATTTCAACCAGTCCTATATAAGAGGAATAGAGATGATCATAATCACAAGCTCTATGGTAACTGAAAAGGTTTTAGCTAGACAAAGGACATCAAGGCCACAGATATCTAAGATAGCTATCATCAAATCTCACTGATTACCAATAGCTATTACAAAGACCTCCTATAGCTTACGTTAGATTTATAGTGGACAGTGATCTGGCAATGTGAATTGAGTTTAGTAAAATGTTCCCAGTAGGCTGAATGCTATGCTATTAACATAGCAGGAAAAAACCTATTGGGGAAATGTTTTGTGGTCATGTCCACGGCAAATAAGAAACTGCATTCTAAAAGCCTTGGTAATGACCATTATACTTTTGTGTGGAGTAAGATAAGACAACTTACCACAATCCTTTTAGCTGAGCTTCTTTGATCTACACTTGAATATGGACATGCTTCAAAAACTGCACCTTTGGAGAAAGATTTTAACATTCATATTAGACTAAATTTTTCAAAATACATTTCATTAGGTTCCAAAGTACCCCGACAACCAGTTCCTAACTGGCATATATTGAAAGTTCCAGGCTTGAAACTGAAAATAGTTAGAATAAGCATCTTTTGAATCAATTTAAATATTGGGAACAAATCTTATTTTAAACATAAGACTTAATCCATTTCCATGCATAAAACTCTCATAGGAAATGTTCATTTTTCAGGGAATGCTTATCTTAGAGTTTTCATGTTTTAAAATATTTACTAGGGAGATGGATGTTCAGATGGCTATTTTTCATTCAGCTCATTCAGAGCAGTTGAACATTTTGCCCATCATCATAACATCATGCTGGTGAACAGTACAAACATAGCGGTCAGCCTTTTTAATGTCCAATCTTTTGTGGGATTAATAAGCCATCAGGATGGGCTACTGTAATTAATTAAATAAATAAATGCAAGGACATTAATACTAAGGTTTAAAAAGGAGCTTAAGTTTCCTGTAAACTAAGAGGGAGTTTGAAGGAAAAAATTAAAATCTTACCTATAATCATTGGAAGCTAATTTCCTCAAGCAATTTACTTTAGGGTCCTAGAAATTAAATATTAAGAAAAACATTGTTATTTTATCAGGTGATGTAAAAAATACTATTCCTTAATTGTTTCTGAAATTGAAGTCTTTTTACTCTACTCATTGAGCCTGGCAAAAAATGTTACAGGTCTCATTGTCACCACTGTAATAAAATACTGTGATGGAAGCATAACCTGTGTCTCAATGTAGCCACATTAACAAATTTCTGGACTCCGTACACAAAAACAGTGCCCATTTTCATATAGAATGAGGCTTTATAAAAGTTTTTCTCAAGCTTACATGTACACTATGCAAAAGGTTTTGACAACTGTAGAGAAGTTCCTGCTGACACTTGCTATCGATAAAGGAAAGAAACCCCTAGAAGCAACAGAAATAAAAAGGCTTACGTAGTTCAGGTCTGAATAGTATCTGCCTGGTTTTTTAATTTCAGACACCCTAGAAAAAGACAAGTATTAGTTCCTACTGAAGATTACTTATGTCTAACTGAACAGTAAGAACTGTAAGAATGTCTCAATAAAAATACCAGGTTTAACATGCACAAAGCCAAGAAAACCAACGATGCCAGATACTGAATTTATATTGCACTGTCCTTTGAACACCCAGCAGGAATAAACTACTGAATGCAGATACCATGCAGTGCATTATGACTGAACTATAAACACTTGAGGATTAAATCTCATTGTGACAGATCCAGAAGCAGGTTAACCAATTGACAAATTTCAAAGAGGAACAGAGAGAAGGGGGAGATTAACCCAAGAACTTATGTGCATAACCCATGGATGTAGTCAATGTGAAGGCCTGGGTTGGTGAGGGGAGGGAGAGCATCTATAATACCTTCAACAATAAAGAAGTTTTAAAAAGCTAATTTCTAATTGTCATGTTAATGAGGCAACCATATTAATGCAATAAACTATAAACCCAAGTCACTATTCCTTTTGTTCAGGTGTCCTTATCAAGTTGAGATGCATAGGAACTTTTCTCATCATTTAGCCTATTGTCAAACTGACTTCCTTATACATCATTTCACTTAGTCTCAGAACCTACCAAGTGTTAAAGGAGGACTTACTCTGCTCACAAATTGCATTTTTGCACTTTGAGTCCTTAATAAAGGGAAAGAAATTAAGTGTTCAACTTACCGCTAAACATGAATAAGTGCAAATCTTCACACCTACAAATAGAACACCAAATAAAAAGACTGACAGATGCATAATTAAAAACTAAAACTTAAATAGTGCTATATTCAGCTGTCAGAATTATGTTTTAGTTCATGTCTGTATCATTCAGCAGTTGAACAGTTAAATTCATCATCTGAACTTCAGTGGTACCCTAAGGCTGTCACAATGTCAACCAGTTAAAACTTACCTAAGCTATCACTCCCTAGAATTGTACAGATCTTCAGGATATGCAAAAATACCTAAAATTAAAAAGATTATTAAGTCTGTTGCAGTTTTAGAAGCTGTCTTGTAACTCCTTCCCACAGATCTATCAGTTCTGTGAATAAAGGAAGCAACATATTTATTCTATGAGGCGTTTCCAACGACGTAAGTCTACAGAAAAAGACCCATCGGGATAGACCTCAATCATTTACACATTTTAAAAGGCATAAGTCTATAGAAAGACAATGAGAACTGATCTGCTCCAACCATTTGAACTCAAAATTATAGAAATAGTCAAACATCTTCAAATTTGTAATAAATTTAAAAGTATCCCATAAAATTGATCACAAAGGATTCCAATAACGATTCTCAAGAAATACATACTGACCACCACCCCCCACCCAAAAAAAAACATGCAAAATAACAAGTAGCTACTCTAGATAACCCAAATGAGGAATATCCATGTATAAATTCTTTTTTTATGAATTTGGTATTGCCATCTTTCACCTATGAAATTACCATATTTCACAGTAAAGTTAACATAATTTTTGCCTCAGAAATGAAGATCTATATGAAATATCTTCTCCTAAGCTACTTATCAAATATAAAAATACAGGGTTTGAATGTGGCTTTATATATTTATGTTCTTACCACTTGAAAACTTTATGCCTCCTAAACTTATAAAGCTGTGTAGTCATTTCTGGTATTAAATCTACCTCTATAGTCCAAATTCCAGTTTTGGGACCCTTTCCTGCAAGTAAAGTGAGGCTGACACTGTATCCCTATATAATGGTGATTCTCAAGATTCATTTTCTGAAATCATGTCCTTATCAGAAATTAAAAGATGGCAGAAAATCTTTTAATAATGAAACGTGGAGATTTAGATTATCTAACAATATTGACCCAAAAACTCACCTAAAGAGTAAGAGATAAATCCAGATAGTGTTCAAGATGAAACCCTAATTTAAAAAAGAAGTCAACTTCGTTACAGTGTTATCAACAGCAAAATTAAAATATTAAAGCAATATGGTTGGTATTTCCCTTGTATTCTATGCTTTTTAAATTAATCCTACAGTCCTGGAACCAGGGTTTTAGGTATTATGTTCCTTCTTATATGTATCAAAACTCATACTGAGCAATGAGTTCTGGGTTGCAAAAGAGGCTTTATTTTTAGCACTTGTATGTAGTTTTTGTCCACAAATTACAAAAACAAACATAAGTGCTATTGTGAAATGCAGTGAATTTAGCAATATAATTGGTAATATTTATGGCGAAAAGACAAATGATAGTTAATATTCCAGGCTGTCAAGAAGGGGAAATTGTTAAATTCTTGTCGACACTGAACACTCGACTATCAAGATCACATTTGTTTGAATAAAACTGGGATAAAAATAAAATAAGGGCCGAACTTGGGGACTGAAGGGTCCCGGGTTCGATTCCGGTCAAGGGCATGTACCTTGGTTGCGGGCATATCCCCAGTGGGGGGTGTGCAAGAGGCAACTGATCGATGACACTCTTTCATCAATGTTTCTCTCTCCCCCTTCTTCTCTGTATAAAATCAATAAAATATATTTAAAAAAATAATAATAAATAAAATAAGGGTTTCAGATATCCTAAGGGTGACTGTTGTCATTCATTAGTGATGACTTTATTTTTAGGGTTACAATCACTATACTTTGATTAGGCTCTTAGGCCGACATTAACAAGTATAGGCAAAAACAGTGGGACCCTTTTAAAGTTTTTATTTTTCTCACCCAAGGACATACTGAAGAGAAAGGAGAGAAATATCGATTGGCTGCCTCTTAAACAAGCCAACTGGGGATCAAACCCACACCTCAGGAACCATGTGGGTTTATGTGTCCTTACCAGGAACCAAACCAGCAACCTTTCATTGCACAGGATGACAACCAACTGAGCCACTCTGGCCAGGCAATAGGACTTTATTATTTTACAATACATTATTTCTGCTATGAAAGCCTCATTTTTTTTTTTAAATGCGCAATTTCACTTCAATTTTTCTTGGTAATTAACTTCTTCTTTAACAGTTTCTTTCTCAAATTTGTTCAGAGGTACTTTTTATTTTCACCATGGCAGTTCTATCACTAGAGTGGCATATATATTCATCACTTCACAAGTTTCTTTTTCTCTAGTTTCTTTACCTTGACATCCATATTCCTATCTCCTTTTCAAGTCATTCTTTCTTCTGTCCAATGTTTTTTGGACTTTATACTCTTTTTAGACAAAGCAGCGTCTTCAGTATGTTCTTGCTCTAAATATACATTCATCTTCTTTGGTAATTCAGAACTTATTATGAAATAATTATTCTCCTGCATAAAAGATACCAATATTAAGCAATAACTAAAACTTAATTGCTTTCTTAATTACACATAACTGAATTCTAGAGACAACACCTAAGATGTTAAAAATCCAATTAATTTTTGCTTTTATTCTCACTTGATAGCCTAGTATCAAACCTAACAATAGTACGGAAAAGTCCATTTCACACTACCCCCCAAAAATTTTATTCTTGCATTTACTGCACCAAATATTAAAGCCTTTCCAAAATTAAGCAGGGACTGTAAGACAGTAACTACTGCATAAAATCCTTCCTGTACCATCTGAGACACCCTCCCAAAAGGAAATAGAATAAAAATGTCACTTACCACCAATTTGATATCACATTCATCATCACGTTCCAGATTTGTAGCAACCTCATCCTCTTCTTCTCTGCAATATTCAAAATATCAGATGACTAAATCCTCTATAACCCAATTAATAATATATTATTACACACAAAATAGCAATACTAGCCAAGGAGGAAAATTACATGATCATGCATAACACCCAAAATTGGCTCCCATGTGCCAAGCTCATAGAGCTCAACTATAATAACCCAAATGGCCTATTATATCTTTGCTACCATCATTATTAAAGTATGAGCAAATATTAAAAGCATAAGGATGAATGAGCATTAAAATAAAAAACATTTGATAATGATTAAATTTACACTGACTCTTCAATAGGAGAGATCGATCCATCATCATCCAAGTATTTATATCTACGACTATCAAGGTCTTCTTTTTCTAAATCTTCACCAACATTCATCTGATTTAAGGATTCCTTGAGGTGGTATTCATACTTCAGTTTCTCAAGGTAGTTGAAAAATCCTCTTGCCACTGCTTGCTACAAATGAGAAAATCACAGTCTTACAAATACTTCCCTCTATCCTTATCAGAGGTGCGTTCCAAAAAAGCAAGGACCCCCTTACCGAGAGCTCTCAGTGATCTTGATTTAACTATTCTGCCATATACAACTCATGTAATACAAATGCTGACTGTAAAAAGAACTCACTGCTACCTTGAAAATTATCAAACTTACCAAAGTTGGTACAACCCAGAACAAATCTTGTTGTTTGGGAATTAATAGACTTAAATGCAGATAAACTATCTTTTAACCCCCACCTGAGGTTCTTTTTTCTATTGCTTTTAAATACAGGTGTCTGTGAGTGAGGGGGGGAATACAGGGGGAGAAACATCAATGTGAGAAACACATGGATGGATTGCCTCCAGCACAAGCCCTCACCAAGATAAGAGCCTGCAACTGAAGTACATGCCCTTGCCCAGGAATCAAACCTGCAACCCTTCAATGTATGAGCCGGCCAATGTGTTAACCACTTAAATCAAGCCATCCAGGGTGCACATAAACAAATTTTTGAGGCTTTATTATAATCACCTTAAAAAATAGGTTAACTGTCAGGCTGGTGTGGCACAGTGGTTGAGCATGGACCTATGAACCAGGTCTATTTCAATTCCTCCTGGTCAGGGCACATACCTGGGTTACAAGCTCAAGTAAGGGGTGTGCAGGAGGCAGCCAATCGATGATTACATCATTTAATGTTTCTCTTTACTCTCTGAAATCAATCAATCTATTTTAAAGTTAACTAATATCAATCCCCTCAAATCAGAATTTAAATCAAGCAATTAAAAATTTAACTATTCAAACATTAAATACAATATACTGCTAAGTACCAGGCAGTTATGTCAGAAAATGAATCCTCACTATCAATAAGAAAATAAAACCTACTAAAATCACTGAACACACAAGTTTTGTTTTGTTTGGGGGGGGGGTTGACCTATGTTACATGTGGGTTGACCTATGTTACAATTGGGAACCATTTGAGTTTTTGGGATGTTAAAAACCTGACTGGATGAGATCAAGAGATTTTACAGGAACAGCCTTGGAGCACTTCATATACAGGCAGTCACTAAATACACACATGAAAATTTCACCTAGAAGCCAATGGAAGTTTGAACTGAAGGCCGGCACATCTAAAATGTAAGTGACCAACACACCAATTCGGGCACTTTAGCTATGGGTACCCACATACACTAACTCACCTCAAATGTTAAAATTTTTCTCCAAGGTAACGGTTTACTTCCGTTCTCTGACTCTACAAATGGGAACTGAGGTCTTTTAACTCTAAGCTGTTTCTTACTTATTTGTGACCTACTGTTTTTCCTTCCTTTCGGTCTTTCCTTTGGTCTTCCTGTTGGCTTGTATTTCCTCTTTTTACGTTTCTTTGGTTTCTTTTTCTTGAATCTTTCAAAAATAGCTTTTAAAGTCAATGGTCTTGGTTCTATAGATGAGTCACTGGATGAATCTCTTGCTTGGACACTTTCAAGTGATTGAACACATTTCCTAAGAGGATTTCTTCGCCTCCGTTTAGGTGAGGAAGGAACACATTGAGTTTTAAATAAGCTGCTACCAGAGGAAGAGCTATCACTGGAGAAAAAAAGGGGGAAAATTAATGTATCCTCTTTATAAGACTGAATGCTTATTACCATTAATGCACGTTTCTTCCGAGGGCAGAAGCAGGAAAACCTGCTCAGGTTTATGTAAACCAGGTTTTTCTATTCTTTCCTCATCCTTGAGAATTACCTTTACCACCACTCCTTTTCTATAAAGATTTATGCTTCCCTAGTAATTCAAGTAAACATTATCATCAAATCTATTGTCTTCTAATGAAAATCTGGCAGTTAATATAAAAAGTGCACTTACTTTTGATTTTCAATTTCCAAAACTGAATCAGATACTGTTATGTAGTCCGGAGAATCCATTCCTGCTATCTTCCAGTCTGTCTCGAAATTGTTATTCCTCACTTCTTTGCTTTCACCAAATTTCTGACAACATAAAATACAGTCCATATGAAGTCTAGTTTCCCCAAACAAGTGCCAGCACAAACAACTAGTATCCAAGCAATGCAAAATTTGATGCAGTTTTTGTCATTATATGTAAATTAAGGTCATGCATATTTTCATATAGGGACCATCCATTTCAAATAAAAAAATTCTAAAATCTAGAAATTTTATTGATAGGCTGTATCTTTCAGTTGTGCCTCTATTGCTATCCAGTGGAACAAGGGTCTAGGAAATGTCATCCACTCAAAAAAAATATCAAACATCTTTCCAATAACAGGAAAAAAATGTAATTTTATCATTAGTCATGTAGTCATGTACAATTAATGGCCCAAAAGTCATTTTCCAAAAGCAAATGTTAACAAGGCAAGCCTCAGTATGCCAGGAAAAATAATTTGCTCTCTCAACCCATCACACCATTTTTAAATTCCTGGTCTGGGATTTTTATTTGTTGCTTTTCCCATTCATACTGATTCAACAAAATCACTATGAAACCTTTCTTGGCATATCTTTTTGTTACTATGGTTATTAATTTAAAAGTTATGAATTCTCTCTTAAAGTTCAATGGTTGGACTATTAACATTGATGTCTTTTATCTTCCTTTTAAAAAAAAAATTCCCAAAATTTTACAGTAGTTTTGGGAAATGAGTAAAGATGCAAGTTACCTTAAACATTAAGGTAGTTCAAATAATGGGCAATCAGTAAGTTCACATATATCTTATAGATTCTCCAAAATGTCCAATGGACTCACATAGTAATTTCATGGTTTTATTGTAGTTTGAATACAAAATCAGATTATGTCATGAAATGCTCAAAAATAACATTGAACTAAATTGGGTACAATGGCACTGGTGGTACACCTGAGCTTAACATTTTTTTTTTTTAATATTAGGACATTCTCAGAATAAAGTGTAATGAACTCAAAAGTCACCGTTTCGGAAACGTTATTTAGAAAGCATTTCTGAGTGTCCCTTATTCCGAAATTGGGCCACGTGGCCTGACAGTGCAACCACCCCCTCCCCCGCGGCGAGAACAAAGCTTCTCTAACCACTACCTGACCTTGGGGTGACGATCTCAGGAAACCCCTAAAGTGACCAGACGTTCCGATTTTTTTTAAAGATCCTTTCCAAAAACCGGGGCTGTCCCGCCCAAAGCGGGACCTAAACCCAGGCACAGAAAATGGCCTAAGCGTTATCACCTACAGCTCCAACACCCCGGATCACACCCACTGTAAGCGAGGTTTGTGTGCCGCCACCCTCAGGCTTGACTTCTCTGGCTCGAACCTCGCGAGCGTCGCGGGGGGAGGTGGAGTGGGGGCCGGGGAGAGCTGGAGGCGCACCCCCTCCCTCAACCACCAGGCCCGGGCGGCACCGTCCCCCGTCTTACCCGGGTAAGTCAGCGGACGGCTCGCACCACCCAGCGCCGGCTCGGTAAGGGCCTCCGCGGCGAACTCGCCACCCGCAGCCCGGGCCCGGGAAGCCGGCGCCCAGGAACCGCCCAATCCCAGCGGCGCCGCACGAAGCAAACACCGGCCTCCGCCCAGTGCGCGGAGGGAAAGACCGGGCCACCCGCGAGACCTGGTTAATAGTGGGGCCAAACTCTCGCGATAACAGTTTAGCTCCGGAAAGAACGCGAGAGACGCGAGGTGTCGGGGAGCGCCGTAGGGGTGGCCGCGGAGGGAGGAGCCGTTCCAAGTGGGCGGGGCCTGAGCTCCAAACCCAGAGGAGGCGGAGTCGCCTCTAACCGATTAGGTAAGGCTTATAACGGAGAACCTGTAGGCTAACGACAGAAAGAAACTGTGCGGCCAAGGGAACGGGAAGGGTGTGAAGTGCGAGGAGACAGCCCGGTTTGGTTCCGGGGGTCTCGCCTTTGCAGACCTGGCGTCCTAGGCGTGGGTGAGTGGGTGTGCATGGTGCCTCGAGTGCGTTGTCGGATTCTGTCTGCTTTTGCCTCCAAAAATCTCTTTTGTGTTAAAACTGAAAGGCTCTTGCTTGGACTGTCACTCAAAACATGGAACCTTTGTACTGGAACCAGTGTTACTGCGTGGGACACCCAGCTCTCTCCACCTTTGGACTTTTGTTAGCTCCAAAGTGGGGTGAGCCTCCCAGGAGTTAGTTAACATATCACTGGAGACAAATTCCTTTTCTCAGTCCCTTCGCCCTCTTAGTTCCCAAGCATTAACATAAACCAGCTTAGAAACTAGCTTAGTTTTGGTGGGGTTTCTTCCCCAAAGCAGTCACAAAACGGAATACGCTGGTCTGATTTGTGCATTTTCAGACCTCTTGTGTCATATGATAAGCCAGTAAACCTGTCTAGTCTTAGTTTAGCTAGTGTGATCTCAGGATTGGGCAGACCTAGAAGGTAATCTGGTCTATTCACTCAGCTTTGTACCAAATAATGAACAATTCCAGGCATAAAGAGTCTGATCCTGTGGGCATGTCCAGTCTATGAAATACTGTGAGCTCCAGGACAGGTATGGATGTCCCATCCACTGCTGTATTAGGGAGCAAGCACTGGGCATGTAATTTGTAAGGCTCATTGCAAAATGAAAATGCCGGGTGACTTGTTCAATAATCGGGAAATCTATCATTAAAGGTCCTAAAATATAAGCTGTGAAATGATCATGCTTTGATTGCCACTCAAAATATGCAGCCTTTGTACTGACTGGAAGCCAGTGTTACTCTGTAGCACACCCAAATATACTGGTTCCCTTTTTTCTTCCTTTTTTCTGTAGTATCTCTTTTGACCTGTCATGATGTTTTAATTAATAATATTATTTTGCTATTAATTATTGATAGCATTATTAATCATGCTATTAAATATTATACTATTATTTATTAGCATTCATTTGCTATTTAATTCACTCTAAGAAAATTTTTAAGTTTACATTAACATGATTTTTATCATTCTTTATATTGTGCAATTCCAGTTTCAAATCTATAATTATAAAAGCATAGTATGCTAATTACACCGGACATCCTTCCGGATGAAGCTGGGACTGCAAGGGAAGCCCTGGTCCCGGTGCCAGAGGGAAGCCGGTGTCAGCAGCCAGGGGATAGAAGGTCTACTCTTGCATGCATTACATGCATCATGCCTCTAGTACAAATATAAGAACATTTGTTAAATCATTTGCAGAATCATTGAAATTTCACAATTTGTATTTCATAATGCATCTAAAGCATCTACTGTTCTTACTAGAACAGCAGCAAATGCATGAGACAAACTCATCTGTGTTTATTTAACTTCCTTAATAACACTCTACCTATGGAACCCAGGGACTTGGAGTCCCGCTAAACCCCATGGATCATGGGCCCACCAGAATTCTGTGCTTACCCAGCTTCACAGATACTTCATGTGGAAGGGGGCAGTTAGGAATGATGGTGGACATGCATACTGCACCTCTCTTCTCTCATTCCATGCAAGCTCCATTGCCCTGTCAGTCTCACACAAAAGTTCAAATGTAAAATATCAACAGAGAATTAAACCAAGTGCCATTCTGAGCATATGGCCTTGTGTAGCTACACTAGTTATACACAGTGTCCCAGGGCCTTGGGTCTGGTACATTGTAAATGTTGAATAAATTGAGACTGCACTTATGCTGGTTGTTTACTAGGTACTTGGAACGGTTTTAAAAAAAAAAAAGGAAAAGGGCAGAATGGAATCACTTTTGCTAAGCCCCTTCACCAAACCCAAACTTAATAACTAATCTAATTGCAGTCTCGGCCTCTCCCAGGGTAAATGTTAAACCATTCCATCTAGAATATTCAGATCAAAACTTGTCAGGTAATCTGCTTGATAAACAACCCTCCTGTCCTTTCACCCCAAAAGAATAGGACTTGACTCTGAATGCTGTAAGATCACTCAATACAAACTCTTCCTTATTGTGAGCTGAAGTGTGTCATTCCTTCAGTGGTTAATTGGCATATGTGATGAGTTCTGGCTTTGCAGTGTGTTAGCTTTGGCTTGAATTCTGTTTCTGCTACTTATAATAGCTGTGTGGTCTCAGGTAAGCACTGTATTCTCTAGCCAATTCCTATGAAATGAGGACATCAACATGATTGAGAATATCTGTAAAGTGCCTAACATAGTGTCTGGTACATGAAATGCAGTTAATAAATAGTTATCAGCTTGGTTACCATAGCTCATTCACTCATTCTGCAGTTCCATGTATCCAACTGGTTCCTACCAGTAGTATTTCTATTCCCATCTCTAGATCCTAATCCTGGGCCACTGACTCTCAGCATTGGAGTATGAAAGGTAAATGCTGTGTGCCTCCACATGGCCCACAGCTGTCCTGGAGCCACTCTGAGTTTAGAGCAGAACCTTTCTATCCCTTTCTCTCTTCACCCCTCCAACTCCCACTGAAACACTTACACACACTACCACGCTGCTTCTGGGCTGCTGGCTTGACTGAAGTTCTACGTTTCTAAACCAGTTATTCAGGCTATAGCCCCCCAGGGTTGGACTTTCTATTTTGGTGAAAAAAGTAAACCAAAAAAAAACAGACATTTTTAAAGATAGCAAAGGGTGTAAAATTAGGATATATTTGAATTTAAACTTGAGTCATTATTATTTGTATTAGAAGCAGAAATATCTAGAATGCTTTTATCAACCTCATTATAAATAAATTTTATTAATTGAGCAGATTTTGACATGTTCTTAATTAGTACTTGCTGGGCAAAGTATGATGTTAACACTTGGAAAATCTAGGTGAAGAGTATACAGAAATTATTTATGTGTATTTCTATCCATCTGAAATTATTTCTAAAGAAAAAGTTAAAATGTCTAATTCCTGAGCAATTATAGATTACTCAACTGAAAATATGTTTGAGGCCCTAGCCAGTTTTGCTCAGTGGATAGAACTTTGGCCTGTGAACTGAAGGTTCCGGGGTTTGATTCCGGGCAAGGGCACGTGCCTGGGTTGCAGGCTTGATCCCCAGTGTGGGGCATGCAGGAGGAAGCCAATCAATGATTCTCTCTCATCATTGCTATCTCTCTTTCCCTATTCTTTCCTCTATCCTATATAATAAAGCCCTAATATGCAAATTGACCAAATGGCAGAATGACCTGTCGCTATGATGCGCACTGACCACCAGGGGGCAGACACTCAACACAGGAGCTGCCCCCAACCCTTCAGAGGGAGATGATTGGCGGCGACTGGGGACAGGTGGAGCCACCAGTCAAGCCAGGTGCCAGCAGGAGGCCCCTGATCACCCTGCGCACTGGTCACCCCACAGATCAACCCTGATCACCAACCAGGCTTAGGGACCCTGCCCTATATATTGGGAACAGTCTCTTAGATTTAAAAATTAAAACCTGGCAAGACTACTCTAACGCTGAAAAAAACAGGATGATACAGCGATGACATGCATGGACTCTGGCTTGCACATTTTGTTGTCAGCCCTGTTTCAGACACTTATAACTGTATGACAAAGCCAATTACTTCTCTCTGCTTCAGTTTTTCCACCCATAAGGTGGGGGAAATGGTACCACTGTCTCAGAAGGATCATGTTATGTACTACTTTTTATAATCAGGGCAAAAAAAAAAAAAATGTAGCTGCCCATAGAACAGCAAGATACCTTTCACCTGTATGGAAAGTATAGTCACTGGTGCATGCAGCTTCCAGGATTGCAAGAGGGATGTCCGATTTCTGTTTTAGGCCTGACATCCCCCGAGGAGTTCTGGATTGCAAGAGGATGCAGGCCAGGCTGAGGGAACCCCGCTCCCCATGCACGAATGTTGTGCACTAGGCCTCTAGTGAAATCAATAAAAATATATATTTTTTAAAATATGTTTGAGATCATTGAATTATGATTATATAGAACTTGGGGCCCATTATCAACAATTTATCTTTTATTACATTTATCTTTTATTAAGAATATGTATATTAATTAAAGTAGAGAGTAAGAGTTTATATTTGATAAAGTACTGAAATAAATGTCAAGTTCTAAGTGTATGTAATAGCATATTTGTGAGAGATGTATAGTTTGAAATTATCATCAGAACTAAAATGTAGTTTATAAGAAACCCGAGACCCTTTGGAAAAGTTAAAAAGAAACCTTTTTTGAAAGAATTTTTCCAGTGCTGCAGAAGGACCGCCTTTCACTTACTGAGTAAGCATGTAGCAGAGACTGTTCAGATTAATGAGCTTTTCCATTAACAGTTTCAATGAGAGTTCCAGCAGTGCTCTTAGAGACACCTCAGCTTTTGCCTGTGTTCCTGGTTGCAGCTGGCCCTCAGTGGGATTCCCTGCCCATCCTATTACTTTTATTCATTTCTTTTGCCTTCATTTCATTTATCTCCCTCTGCTTGCACACTTTATCACCTGAACATTTGAGGTAAGACCTAATTTCTGTGTATGTATGCCTACTTATTATAAAATATACTTAGCATATATTTTTAAAATACCAAATTATAATTGGTTAGATTATCAGGATAATTAAACATTGAGGCTGTTTACTAAGAAAGTATGTTTATTTGTAAATGAAATTTGAATTTCAAAAGCTAATCATTAACAGTTTATTTCTCTTAGTAATTTAAATTTTCTTTTTTAAAAGTGATAATCTAATATAAGTACAACCAATGGACACAAAATTCTGGGGAGGGGGGATATGTATGAGAGGGGGGCAATGGTAAAATATGTACACATAATAATTTAATAAAAAAATAAAATTAAAAAAAATAAAAATAAAAGTGATAATCTAAGAAACTTGTTTAATTTTTAGCCTAAATGTCAACTATAGAATAGAAAACACAAATGATCTATTATATAGAAGTACTTGAGCATTCTGTACAATCATCTAATTACTTCATAAAACTTAATAACTACTTTTTGTTTCAGGACCTGTAGTCCTTAGCCCAACATTAGAAAACCCCATGTTCAATCCAGGTCTGTGACTAAAGAAAATGAACCCTGTGCCCTCTTGGTTTGTCATTTCTTGTCTATTTTAAATGTCAACTATAAAGTATCAGTATTAAAAGAGATTACGTGGATATTTTGTCACCAGAAATATTGAATACTAGAAGTTGTGATTGCCTTTTATTTATTTTTATTGATTTTATATATTTTTTTAATTGATTTCAGAGAGGAAGGGAGGTAGAAAGAGAGAGAAACGTCAATGATGAGAATCATTGGTTGGCTGCCTCCTGCATGCCCCACACTGGAAATTGAGCCCAGCCACAATCTGGGCCTGTGCCTTGACAAGGAATCAAACCATGACCTCCTGATTCATATAGGTTGATGCACAACCACTGAGTCACTGTTTGGACGTGGCTGCCTTTCTGTGAGAACAGAAGCCTAACGCCCTTTTGCCCTCTTTATGTAACTGAACACTGAATGTTCATTTCCAGAGCAGCAGCTCTTTGTGCTGGGTGCCCTGTGAGCTCCTGTGATCATTAGCCTGCAGCAGTTTTACTTGTGCGTGGAGAAGGAAGAAAATGGCCTGTGCTGAGTATTCTTTTCATATGCCAAGTCTAGAGGAACTTGTTGGAGGTAAGTACAATACTTAAAAGTTTTTTAAATTATTAAATGTTATTTACGCAATGGTACTTTCAATGCAGAACTTGTTTTCCTTTTCAGTACCTGTTCTATTTGTATTGAGAGTCCAAAATTCTGGCCCTCAAAAAAAAAAAAAAATTAAACTCACTATTTGAAGATTATTGATCATTTTACAGAATGAAAATATAAAAATCTACATTTAAGGTTTAAGGGTGTGTGGTGCTCAAAGGATTACACAATTTTGCTTTATTAACTTTTTATTAGTTACAGTATTCTTTAAACATATAACCTACTGTGGTGTATTAATCGGGCTCCCAATATACTATTCCCAACCCCATATGACAGACTGCCAGTGAACTTGCTTGCTTATGTTTCTGTCTCCATGTATTTTTAAGTATTTCACCTTGTTCAAACAAGAATTTAAGACAGCTTCACAAGATAAATTAGGCAAGATAGAAAATAAAAAGAAAAAATAGGAATATAAAATGAAAACAGAACAATTTTTAATGTGTTTTTATTGATTTTTAGAGAGAGAGGAAGGGAGAGGGATAGAGAGATAGAAACATAGATAATAGAGAAACATCATCAATGAGCTGCCTCCTGCATGCACCCTTACTGGGGATTGTGCTTGCATCCCAGGTGTGTGCCCTGACCAGGAATCGAACCCACCACCTCTTGTTTCCTTGGTTGATGCTCAACCACTGAGTAATGCTGGCTGGGCAAAGACAGAATAATTGATCTGAAACTGGAGAGCCTGCCAGACTGCTAACATTTGTTTGACAGCCTTAAGGTTGTATTCTGAAGGTAACTCTGAAACCTAACCTTATTTCTCACAGTATCTGTCCTGGTAGTTCCTCAGTCCTTCTGATAAGGTTGAGGTAAAAAAGTGGACTCATATTTTACTTGGTTGTGGCTCTCTTATACCTTCCTATTTTTTTTCCAAAACTGTATGGAAGCTCATAAACAATTTGTATTGTTAGTACTCTTTGCTTGTATTTCTTTTCTATCAGTCTGATATGACAGGACAGCTGAGGCTAGATTTAGGATGACTTCTTGCTTTTTAGAAACTAATTCTATAAGACTTAAACTAATGGTTGTCACTAGTTTCAGAGAAATTTTTATAAGAACTTTTCATCCTTAAAAGTATATTGCTCTTAGATTTATAATGTTGAGACATCTATGTTTGCTTTTTTTACTTTTTTTTTTTAATCCTTCACCCAAGGATATGTTTTTTATTGATTTTAGAGAGAGGAAGAAACATCAATCGGTTGCTCCCATACTCACCCCAACTAGGGATTGAACCCACAATCTGAGTATGTGCCCTGACCAGCAATTAAAACCACCCACCTTGCCGAAACTGGTTTGGCTCAGTGGATAGAGCGGACTGAAAGTCCCAGGTTCGATTCTGGTTAAGGGCATGTACATTGGTTGCGGGCACATCCCCAGCGGGTGTGTGTGTGTGTGTGTGCAGGAGGCGGCTGGTCGATGTTTCTCTCTCATTGACGTTTCTAGCTCTCTATCCCTCTTCCTTCCTCTGTGGAAAATCAATAAAATATATTAAAAACAACAACAACAAAAAAAGCACACCCACCTTTTGGTGTATGGGATGGTGCTCCAACAGAGCCACACCAGCCAGGGCACTTTTTTTTTATTGAATAATAATATAGCTATAGTAAAGTACAGCTTGATGAATTTTAACATATTTATATCCATGTCACTATCATCAAGATCAAGATATAAAATATTTTCAGCATTCATTGCAGAAAGCTCCTTCATGTGCTTTCCCAGTCAGTATCTGTACCCAAGAGGTTAACTACTGTCCTGACTTTAGTGATCCATTTTTTAAATACATCATATAGTATAATATATACTCTTTTGTGTCTTGTCTTTCTCAGCCTGTAAGCTTCAAGGAAGTTGTTGAATATAATTGCTTAATTTCTATCAGTTTAAATATTTACATTCAATATCTTTGGAATCCTCACCTGAGTGCAGTGTTTCTCCTCAGTGGTTTATAATTACTATGATTTATACTGGTATTTATGTGTCTGAGTCTACATGATATCTTGTGATTGACTATGCTTTTTAATTATACAAGTTTATAATTATAGAAGTGCGACACACACAAAAGTTGAGGGAAGATTTGATATGTGGTGACAAACTTTTACCTCATGGTAAGTAATCGCTTTCCTTGTCTGCATTAGTTCTGCAGAAGGGGCTAAAGGATAACTTTGCTGATGTGCAGGTGTCTGTGGTTGATTGCCCTGATTTGACTAAGGAGCCATTTACCTTTCCTGTAAAAGGTAAGCAATTTTTGCTATTAATCTTTTTTTTAGTCCTAATCTTTTTCTGAAACCAGGATGATTTTTAAGGATTAAGGATTATTTTTAAGTATCTACAAATAAGGATATTGTATCAACTTTTAGACTAAATTGTGCTTAATTTCTATGCTCACTGTTTTCTTATGTTGGTCAAATACCATTTTGTACTCTTGTGGAAAGATCCAATCTAAGTTTTAGCCCCAATAGCCCTTTCCCTATTATAATCAACTTCATATTATTATTATGCTACCAACTATATCAAGGCATGCTTCGTCATGACAAATTAGAGCCACAGGTAGTTGGAACAGAACATGGGTCCCAGCTATTTACATCTTCCATTGCCTACTATTTGTAAAACTATGAGAATGGGAAAGTTATCTACTTGTAATAAATTAAACTAGTGTTTTCTAGCATTTAATAGTAATTGCATTAGATATTTGCCTATATTTAAGTTTGAGTTGTTGTTTTTTTGTTTTGTTTTGTTTTGTTTTTAGGAATCTGTGGTAAAACTAGAATTGCAGAATTAGGAGGTGTGCCTTACTTATTGCCTCTTGTAAATAAGAAAAAAGTAAGTGTACTTTTACTCTTTACACTCACATGAAGATTGTAGAATTTGGGTTGATTCCTTTTATTAGAACACTAGAAGCCAATGCACGAAGATAGGTGCTAGAATGGGCTTTCCTTTCCCTGGCTGCTGGCACCACCTTTCCATCCAGCCCAGCCCCTTTCCACTCTGGGAGCCACCTCTTTCCGCTCCAGCCCAGCCTTCCCACACTGCCCAGAGGCCCTGAGAGACCGGGGAGGGGGGGCGGTTGGGCAGAATTTACCACCATCTTTGTTGGGTTAATTTGAATATCACTCATGATTGGCTGGTGGTGTAGTGGAGGTATGGTCAATTTACATGTTTGTCTATTATTAGGTAAGATTACTGACCAATGTGGCAAGGAATTGTTGATGGACTCAGTCATAAAAGTAAATCTGGGAATTTGTATAAGTTATTATTTAAATAATGTTGTTTTCCTCTTATATAGGTTTATGATCTAAATAAGATTGCAAAAGAAATCAAGCTTCCTGGAGCTTTCATTCTTGGAGCGGGGGCAGGTCCATTTCAGACTCTTGGGTTCAATTCCGAGGTCAGCATATATATATATAATTATTTTATTTTATCGATTAGACATTTGGTTTGCCTTTTGCCTTTCTTTCCCTATCAGAAATCTTAACTTTCTGGATGAATTGTAAGTAGTTAATACCATGTCTCTCTACAGATTTGCTATTTGATACAGTTTTGTATTATAGCACATGCTCCAACTGATACAACTATAATAGGGCTCTAACCCCTAATTTCAGATTTTCTTAGAATATACACTCATTCTTAGGTGAGTCCAAGGTCCTACTGTGGTCTGCTGTGGATCTGGATTGTAATCCTTATACATCAGAGGATTTCAGCTTCTCCATAAATCTTTGATTTTAGTACAAGAGCAGCTTTTGATTTGAAGATGAGTGGAATATTTAATAATCTAGTCAACACCCCTTTTCCCACCACATTGTAGAAATCTACACCAGTAGTATGATTATTTACAAAATGTAATATCTAGTACTGTGAATGTCAATATATTTCCAACACAAAAATAGCACTGCTTCTTCACATCTCATAAACAGAGGAGTGAATGACATCTTCAATGTGCCCATTCTCTCAACCTTTACAGATATGACCATTAGTCAACAATCAAGTTCTTTTGCAGAATCAATATAATTTTCCTACTGTTCAAGGGAAAAAAATTTAATTAGACATTTTAAATGAAGCAAATGTTACAATGTAATAGGAACACTATAGGAAATACTGTAGCCAAAATTGGTCTGGCTCAGTGGATAGAGAGTCGGCCTGTGGACTGAAAGGTTTCAGGTTCGATTCCGGTCAAGGGCATGTATCTTGATTGCGGGCACATCCCCAGTAGGGGGTGTGCAAGAGGCAGCTGATCGATGATTCTCTCTCATCGATGTTTCTAACTCTCCCATCCCGACCCTGCTTAGCTTCCGAGATCAGACGAGATCGGGCGCGTTCAGGGTGGTATGGCCGTAGACTGATGTTTCTAACTCTCTATCCCTCTCTCTTCCTCTCTGTAAAAAATCAATAAAATATATATATTTTTTTAAAAGAAATACTGTAAACATTTTATAAAATGTTTTTTCTGCTTTTTGATACTTGTAAATCTTTAACAGTTTGTTCTGAATCTAAAATTAAATAGTTCAGATTTCATGATTTCTTACTAGATATTGAAATAAAAGGTCTTAAAACATAGGATAAAATTCTTTCATATTATTCAAGATACCCTGTTTGCAGAGAGATACAAAGATTGACTAATTTTACCTTATTTTTCTTTTCAGTTTATGCCAGTGATTCAAACAGAAAGTGAACACAAACCTCCTGTGAATGGAAGTTACTTTGCCTCCATTAACCCTGATGATGGAGGATGCCTACTCGAGAAATACAGTGAGAAATACCATGATTATGGGTGTGCATTACTGGCTAACCTTTTTGCCAGTGAGGGCCAACCTGGAAAGGTGATTTTGTCCATAAAAACAGTGTTTTTCAGAAGTTCTCAGCTAGAAATCTGAACTGTTACTGCCACAAATAAGGTTTTCTAAAAAATATCCAAAGTGCCTGAATTAAAGGTCTTTAGCTTAGCTGGTTGTGGCTCAGTGGTTGAGCGTTGACCTATGAACCAGGAGACCACTGTTGGGTTCCCAGTCAGAGCACATGCCCAGGTTGCAGACTCAGTCTTCAGTGTAGCGCATGCAGGAAGCAGCCAATTGATTACCTAGTCTCTTGTATTATTGATGTTTCTATTTCTCTCTCCTTCTCTTTTCCTCTCTGAAATTAATTGAAAGCAGCTCTTTCAATAACCCAGTTATGAAAGATTCAGAGAGTACTACAGATAGAGTGAAACTCTCATTTAAAAGTGATTTTAAAAATATTTAGTAAGCAATACTCTTCTTTTTAGGAATTATAAGGTATCAGGACATCCATATGGGAAGTGAGTTAGTCAAATACATTGACTGGCCAGATTATTATGATCTCTGAACACATAATAATCTGGCCACTCAGTATATATATACATTAGAGGATGCATGAATTCATGCATGGATGAGGTCCAGCCAGCCTGGCCAGGGGGAGGGATCATGGGTGGTTGGCCGGCCTGCCTGCTGGTCGAACTCCCGGTCGAAGGGACAATTTGCATATTAGCCTCTTATTATATAGGATATACACTGAGCAGCCAGATAATTATCCATTCAGAGATCATAATAATCTGACCACTCAATGTAGATGAACTATGTAGCTGATACTATCTACCTATAATTAGAATCTAGGCAATTTGTTCATTCCTAACTGATCAAACATTGATTGAATTAGAAATGATGGTAGCAAAAATTATAGCAAGACAGAGGTAAGGAAAATTAATGCCTCACTTCAGATTTACTTCATGTTAGAACACAAAAGGAAGATTTCAGTTTTAGCTTTGAGAATGCTTAGATTTTATAAGTACAGATAGCTGCTTCAACTACTTTGAGAAATGAGGTAAAGTAAAAATACCTAATAAAGTGAAGATAACCTAAGTCCAGAATTTTAAAGGAAGTGATAAAATATAATCATTTCCCCTCCCCCGCAATTAAAGAATCCAGTTATGGGAGATTCAGAAAGTAGGCAGAGTGAAAGTCTTATTTCAAACTGAGGTTAGGAATAACACATAGTAAGCAGTACCCTTTCAGCCAGGGAACTCTCAACCCTTGACCACCTTGGCAATGTAATGATAAGAATCTCTAGAGTTCAGGGAAGGATTTAGCCATAACTCTTAGTCCAAGAAAGCATGACTAAGAATTATTATTAGAGTAAATGTTCTATAACACACACACACACACACACATCTATAAAAAAGTGAATATTTGCTTACCGTATTTTCCTGCGTATAAGACGACCAGGCATATAAGACGACCCCCTAATTTTACAGTTAAAATATAGGTTTAGGCCTATATTCGCTGTATAAGACAACCCCCCCATTTCCGAGGCAACACCAGTTCTTTTTTTAATAGACCCCCTCTCTGACTCTGGCCAATCTGAGCAGGCTTTTTTTTTTTCGTTTCAAAAGTCGTCTTATACGCCGGAAAACACGGGTAATCGCATTTAGATTATATGTTTTACTTTGGTAGATATTTACATAAAATTTTGCACCTTAGAACAATGGTATGCATATTTATGTCTCTCAAGGTCATTGAAGTGAAAGCCAAAAGAAGAAATGGAAAACTTAATTTTGTGACCTGTATGAGACAGACTCTTGAAAAACATTATGGAGACAAGCCTGTAGGGATGGGAGGTACTTTCGTAATTCAGAAAGGAAAAGTGAAGACTCATGTTATGGTAAGGGCCTATGGGGGTCTGAATGCATACATTTGTGGATATGTATGTGTGTGCATGTGCTTAAGATTCTACAACAGAATTATAAATTTTAAGGAAAATAATTGTGTATATGTATTTTTTTCCAAAGGAAATGAAATCAGTATCTTGAAGGGATATATACACTCCTGTGTTCACTGCAGCATTCACAATAGCCAAGTTATGAAAAATCATACATATATATATATATATAAATAATTTAAAAACGAAGGAAATCCTGTAATTTATGATAATATGGATGAATTTGCAGGACATTATATTAAGTGAACTAAGCCAGACAGACAAGAGAAAGATAAATATTGCATGATTTCACCTATATGTAGAATCTAATGGTGATTGTCAGGGGTTTGGAAGTGATGGCAGGGGGAAATGGAGAGATGTTGGTCAAAGGATAAAAACTTCAGTTATAAGATGAACAAGTTCACCCAGCCAGTGTGCCTCAGTTGATAGAGAGTCTGGTCACGTACCAAGAAGTCGCCAGTTCAATTCCCATTCAAAAAGTGTGTGGGAGACAGTGGATCAATGTTTCTCTCTCTCTTTCCCTCTCCCTCTTTCTCTAAAAACCAATTTAGAAAAAGACGAGAAAGTTCTAGAAACTAATGTACATAATGGTAAATATAGTTAATAAAAAATATTGTGTGCTATAGGATGATACAAGATTAGGATGAGGATATACTCACAGGAAAACCGATGCTACAAAAAGTAAAAATATATTTATTCGTTCATACGTTTTAGTGTGTACACACTGATTGGTGATCCTTTTAAAAACGAAGGTGTATAATTTTAGATACCAAAAATAGTCAACACAATGTATAAGAACTCTTAAAGTTTTTAACTTAATATAAAATTTTAATTCTCAAAAATAATCAGTATGTTTACCTGTTTAATGATCTTTTATTGTAGCCTAGAGAATTTTCTCCCTGCCCTTTGAACTCTGATGAAGACGTGAATAACTGGTTGCATTTTTACGAGATGAAGGCTCCTTTGATTTGTCTGCCAGTTTTTGTCTCCAAAGACCCAGTAAGTCTGTGTATTTATATTGTAGTATACCACAATGATAATGTTCAAGTTTTAGGATCGTTGTGTTTTTTTTTAATTTGGCATTTTTTTTGTGTGTTGTTATTTAAGAACTAGAATAGTCTTTAGAATTATCTTAAAAGATAAGGAAGCAGTTGGCTAACAATCTTGAGGTAGGCAGAGCAGATTTTACCTTTGAGAAAATGAAGATACAGGCATTTTAAATAATACCCGAAGACATGCTATTACCGTATTTTTCGGACCATAAGATGCTCCGGACCATAAGACGCACCAGTTTTTAGAGAAGGGAAATGAAGAAAAAAAGATTCTGAAACAAATAGTGTCCTAAAATATTTTATGTGCATTAAAACCCAACATCACAGTCATAAACACATGTAATCAACCCTGTAAAGTAAACAGCAGCATTTAGAACCATTTTAGAGCTGGGCAAGCACACAGAGACCACACAGAGCCGGGCAAGTAAAAAAACTTTTTTTTTTAAAGTATATGTGTAGGCTATATTTGGACCATAAGACGCAGGGACTTTCCCCCCCCCCACTTCTGGGGGGAAAAAAGTGCGTCTTATGGTCCGAAAAATACGGTAAATAGTAGAATTACAACATGACTCATTGTATTTGCTGTTTATTATATTGTTCATTATATCTTAATACTATACACTGGGAAAAATATTATAATATAGATCAATTCAAAGTAAATATATACCAAAATAATGGCTAGTGATATCTTTTGATCCAATGATTACATGCCTAGGAATTTATCCTTATTTGCATGACTGTGTAAAATTATTAGTTACAAAGTTATTCATGACAGAATTTCTATAAGAGTAGAATAACTGGAAATAATCTAAACATCAGTTGGAAAGTGGCATGTACATAGAATAGAATATAAGGAAACTCTTTTATGATCTGATATTCAAAGATCTCAAGCTATATTGTTACATAAAGAAAAACAACAGAGGAGAATCCAAGATGGCTGCACAGGTAAACACCTAGCCGCAGCCGCACACAACAATTTCAATAAAATACAACTAAAATATAAAATGGACATTACCCAGAACTACAGGAAAGTCGACTGACTGGAAATTCTACAACGAGAAGCAAGGAGAAAACCAGAGGAAGAGCAGAAGCGCTGTAAAAGCCTAAGGTACGGAGACACGCAGCACGCGTGGAGAGGATGGAGCTGGAGAGGAGGGGCGGCTGAGTGCCTGGCTGGCGTTCCCTAGCGGGAAGGAGATAAAAGCTCCGACTGTGCTGGGCCCCAGTTCCAACTGCTCTGAACCCCAGTTCTAGGCCAGACCCCGGGGACCCAGGCTCATCCATAGGGAGCTGGGCTGTAAGGCAGAACCCCAGGGGAGCGGCGAAAGAAGGTCCCGGAGGCAAGCACATTGCGTGCAGAGTAGGGACGGTTGGCTGTGCCACGGGATTGCCCTGGCAGGAAGGAGACAGGGGCTCCAGACTGCTCTGAACGCCACCTCCAACTCCACTTCCAACTGAACTGAACCCCAGTTCCGGGCTCATTGGGGGAGAGGCTAGACTTTGGTAGCAGGCAAAAATCGAGGGCACCTTTCTCTCATCAGAGGTGCTTGCAATGAGTACTGAAGGACCCTGGGGATTACTGAGACTCAGGAACCGCATAGGGCGGGGCTGATGGAAGTCAAGACTGTAGGCTCCACCCTGAATTCCCACCCAGCCCCATGAGGGAAGCTGCGAAAATGCCAAGACGATGAAATAGATCACAAATGAAAGAAATGAAGGACAAAAAGCGACTGGATATAGAGTTCAAATCTACGCTTATAAGGTTTTTCAAGAATTTCCTAGAAAAGGTCGATAAGACCTATGAGGATATGAAAAGGGATCAACTAGAATTAATAAGAAATCAATAAGAAATGATAAGGGATCAACAAGAAATAAAGAATACATTGTCTGAAATAAAAAATATTATACAGAGTCCTAAAAACAGAATGGAAGATTGCAAGAATCAAGTCAAAGATTTGGAACATAAAGAGCCAGAAGGCACTCCTCCACAGAAGCAAGAAGGCAAGAGAATCCAGAAAATTGAAGATAATGTAAGGAACCTCTGGGACAACTTTAAGCAAACCAACATCAGAATTATGGGGGTCCCAGAAGATGAGAGAGAGCAAGATATTGAAAACATACTAAAAGAAATAGTGACAGAAAACTTCCCCCACCTGGTGAAAGAATTAGACTTACAAGTCCAGGAAGCGCACAGAACTCCAAACAAAAGGAATCCAAAGAGGATCACACCAAGAAATATTCAAGGTGATGAATAGTAAGAACCTACAGCCAAAGATAATCTACCCAGCAAAGCTATCACTCAGAATCGAAGGCCAGATAAAGAGCTTCACTAATAAAAAAAGCTAAAGGAGTTCATTACCACCAAACCAGAATTATATGAATTGCTGAAGGGGGTTCTTTCGGAAGAGAAAGTAAATAAAGATAAAAATTATGAACAACAAATATGTAACTATCAACAAGTGAATCTAAAAACCAAGGAAGTTAAAAAAAAATTTTGATGAATAATATTAACTGTTGAATATAATAGAATCAGGGGTATGGAAGGGGAGTGAACTGACGCTTCTTGGGGAAAAGGGGAGATGGGGATGTGGGAAGAGACTGAACATAAACTGTGCATCTATGGATGAGGACAATGGGGGGTGGGGAAAGGGCAGAGGGTGGGGTGGGAACCTGGTGGAGGAGAACAATGGAGGGGGGGGAAGGAACATTTGTAATAATATGAACAATAAAAATTTATTTAAAAAAAGAAAAACAACATGCAGCACAATATGTAAAGAGTACTACTATTTGAGTGAAAAATATCTTTCTAGAAGGATATGGAAGAAACTGCTTACATTAATTGCCTGTAAAGAAAGGAAGTAAGTGGTGAGGACAAGAAATGGAAAGATGTTTTTTACTGTATTCTTTTGAATCATATGAATGTATTACCTACTTAAATAATAAAATAAAAACTACCATAATATAAATTTAAAAGGCCTCCTTCCCTCTTAAGTAAATTCTGTTCAAAGTAATTTGAATATTAACAGATGGTTTGTCTATTGTTCTAGGGGTTTGATTTGCGATTGGAGCACACTCACTGTTTTAGTCATCATGGAGAAGGTGGACACTACCATTATGACACTACCCCAGATATAGTGGAGTATCTTGGCTACTTCTTACCTGCAGAGTTTCTCTATCGCATTGATCAACCAAAAGAGACTCACTCATTTGGGCGGGATTAAGTCAACTGCTATTTATTTAGAAAAGAGAAATGATTAACTAAGTTGATTAATTGATTTACTCAGGAGTTGATGCAAATATAAAATCCAACAGAAATTATCTCACTAATTAAACTCTCTATTTTTGGCCTTTGAAATGAAAGGTATGTTGATATTATGCTATGTTTTATAGGTCTATTGAAAAAAGTTTATTGGGAACAAAGATACATAACAGAGATGTTCTTCATTCTTTTTTTCTAAAAATCAGTCTTATATTTATACCTGAAATATAAATGCGCCCTGGAGTCATGTGATTGGTTATTTTTACATAACTTTTGCGGTAAGTTATGTAAATTACAAATAGTAATCACATTTGTTTAAGATATTAAAATTTTCAACTTAGTCTCAAAACTGCAAATAGGATATTAGAAAAATCAGTGTTGGAAATTTTGATAGTTATTGAAACTCTGCATTGAATTTAAAAAATCCATTTTAGAAGTCAGAGTGTTTAATAATTTAAACACTTTTATCATGGAATACAGTGGTCAGAAGGAGGAGCTTGACCCCTTTTGGTGAAGTTCAACCATACTCAGAGTTTGCAATTTCCCTTTCACAAACATTAGCAACTAGATAGTTAGCCATGATTCCTCCTCCTTTTGGACTGCTACCTGGAAGCAGTTGGTGCCTTGTTGGTTACTTGCAAAAAGAGAAGAGATAACAAACAGCATCAAAATACAACAATGAAGAGAGTATATATTTTAATTTATGTGAGGCTATTGCTAAACATGGACACTGTCCTTGAGATATATAAAATTATACTCTTACTGATTATAATGGTCAAAATTTTCCTCAGTGTTCTTCAGTAATCATTAGCCAGAAATTAACTATCTCATTTTACTAATGCAAACAATGTGCAGATTTAAGAGCTCTTCAATATTAAGCACATGGTAAATCTTCAAAAAAATATTTTTGATTGTCTTCTCAGGATGTTTGTTGTAACATGTCCTTTCAGTATAAATTACTAAATATTATTTTTAAATAAGTACTAGTTTGTAGCAAAAAGTGATTAAAGCCTGGCCAGCATGGCTCAATGGTTGAGCATTAACCTATGAACCAGATCACTGTTCGATTCCCATTAGGGCACATGCCTGGGTTGTGTGCTCCATCCCCAGTGTGGGACATGCAGGAGGCAGCCGATCAATGATTCTCTCGTCATTGATACTGATGTTTCTGTTTCTGTCTCCCTTCCTCTCTGGAATCAATAAAAATGTATTTTTAAAGAGTGATTAAACATTTATATTCATAATATGACATTGTGTTTCTTTTTAACATTCTACCTAAGGAAAAAAACCTTATTATTCATTCAACAAATATGTATTGAATACCTACCCTGTCCTCTGGAATGTAAGCTCTATGACAGCAAGGGCTTTCTTTAGTCACTATTATAGCACTAGTGCCTGGACAAAGTAGGTACTCCATAAATATTGGTTGAATGAATGGGTGGGTAGTGATTATGCCAGATACTTCACTAAATGCTGGGATCTATCATTCAATCAAGACAAATAATAAGCAAGTACTATATAATATGTCAGATGATGTTAAGTGCTATGAAGAAAAATAAAACACTGGATGCATTATAAAGGTGGATGCTATTTTGTTGTGGCCATCCTACACTGAGATAGAATTAACTTCTCTCCCCAAATTTGGTTCAGATGAAATCTCAATCTCTCTCTCTCTCTCTCTCTCACACACACACACACACACACACACACACACACACACACACACACGGTATGAAAGGGTTTACTGGTTGCATAATGAGGCTTTATGGAGAAAGCAAGGCAGCTCCTAAGCGAGTTCAAAAATGGCTGAGAGAACAGGGGAAGGAGACTGGCTGGGAGCAGGTTTTATAATGGTTAGACTCACTCGCAGGGGTCTTCAAACTACGGCCCGCGGGCCACATGCGGCCCGCAGAGGTGTCTGATCCGGCCCGCCAGGTTTTTTGGGCAGTGAGCGCAGCCGAGGTGTTACAGTAGGAATTAGTAGTTCATATAGTCTGGCCCTCCAGCTCTCTTGAGGGACCGTGATCTGGCCCCCACTTTAAAAAGTTTGAGGACGCCTGAAGGAGCCAGATGATGGTTTTGCATGCAGTTTGAATTTCCCACAGGTGTTAAAGGAAAGAGTACCTACACTTTCTTATCAACTGGCCAAATGTGGAGAAGGGGTAAAGCTTAGTAGCTGTGAGCAGTCAAACATAAAAAATGGAATCTGACTCGCTGAAACCAGTTTGGCTCAGTGGATAGAGTCGGCCTGCAGACTGAAGGGTCCCAGGTTCGATTCCAGTCAAGGGCATATACCTTGGTTGCGGGCACATCTCCAGTGGGGGGTATGCAAGAGGCAGCTGATTGATGATTCTCTCTCGTTGATGTTTCTAACTATCCCTCTCCTTTTTGTAAAAAAATCAATAAAATATATTGAAAAATATTAATGGAATCTGACTCTATTAACGTTTTATATAGGGAGTTCAGCAAAAGCCTCTGATAGAGACATTTGAGCAAAGACCTGATTAAAAGAGTGAACCATGAAGTTATTTGGAAAAACATCTTTCCTCACAGATAGAAAGCCCCAGAGGCAGAAGAGCACTCAGTATATTCAAGAAACAAGGAGGCTACTGTGAACACAATCAGATTCTCATGCATGTGTTCCTATTTGTTTTTTATTTTGATTACCAGTCACTTTCCTGCCTCTACATATCTACTACTACTACTACTACTACTATATGCTATATATTGTGTTCTAAAAGGTATCTTTCACTCTTTTGTTAGGCAGATGGAGAGACTGATTACCCCAATTCAATTAGAGACTGAGTTGGGTTGGGGTTGGGTTGCATTTTAAATAAGGCCCAGGCCACCTCAGCTTAGTCTGTTATTCCACATGCCTCTCTGAGGTTTTGAGAGCCTGGCAGGTCTGTCTCTTCAGCCCCGAAAGATGGTAGGGAGTTCAGTTCCTTCCTTTGGAAGATTTTAGCTCCATGAAATCTCAAGTCTTTTTCTTTTTTAATATTTTATTGATCTTTTAGAGGAAGGAAGAAGGATAGAGTTAGAAACATCGATCAGCTGCCTCCTGCACACCCCCCACTGGGGATGTGCCCGCAACCAAGGTATATGCCCTTGACTGGAATCAAACCTGGGACCTTTCAGTCCCCAGGCTGACGCTCTATCCACTGAGCCAAACCAGTCAAGGATCAAGTCTTCTTCATGGAACACTTCCCACTAAGCAGGACTGTCTTGTTAGCAGTGCTGGAGATCAGGTACTTGCCTCTCAGAGGAAAGAATTCAACACGAGATAAAAAAAGGCAATGTTTTATTCAAAGTGAAAATACATCTGAGGAACTCTTGGGTGGGCAACTCCAGCTAGGTTCCAGTGCCCTAAATGGGCCTAGTTTTAGGCTTTTTATCTTATTCTTGCCCCTCCCTTCTTCTGTCTTAATCTTATTGTACCATTCATCCCTTAGTTGAGGGGCTGGAATTTGTTTGCAGTTGTTTTTGCAAGATTTGCCCTCTTGTTTTGTTTTGTTTTAATATATTTTGATTTTTTTTACAGAGAAGGAGAGGGATAGAGAGCTAGAAACATCGACCAGCTGCCTCCTGCACGCCCCCCAATGGGGATGTGCCCACAACCAATGTACATGCCCTTGACTGGAATCGAACCTGGGACCTTCCAGTCCGCGGACCAACGCTCTATCCACTGAGCCAAACCGATTTTGGCAGATTTGCCCTCTTTCCTGTTTTGGTCTAAATTTGATGGCTGTTCTTAGCTTTCCATCCCTCTTTTCCCGTGTATTTAAACATGGTCTTTGATCAGTTTGTCCTGCCTCTGCCCTGCTCTTATCTATCTAACTGCCTAACCTAACATTCTCCACTCAAGAGTTTGACACCCAATTCGTGGGGGGGGGATTATGGATGTAGACAATCATCTGGCTACTTCCTGCTGACAAACGGGCGAAGTTAGGATTGGGTCTCATTCTCTTGCTATCTGTCAGGGCATACGGTAAGGTTCTTGGACTCGTTGGCCAGCTTGATCAGGACGTTGAGCTAATTTCTGCGGGGTGTTTGGGAAGGTTGAAAACCCTGATGAACCATTATCTGAGGTGGAATTGCTGTAATCTGGAAGAGACAAAGTAGGTTAAATGAACAGGGACCAAATAGCAGTATCCCTAGTATATGATGAGAGGTATTATAAGAGTTCAAGGAGAGACCATAACCAATTTTTCCAATTTTAAGCAAGTGAGGTTGCCAGACCTGGCAAAAGTTAGGATTCTCTTAGGTTCTTTAACCAGGTTGCGTGGTTTAGAATCTCACGTATTCTTGTTTCTACTTTGGCGGAGTTATTGATGTAGGTGCAACATGCAGTATTCCGAATAGCGCAGACCCCTCCTTCTGCGGCTAAAAGATAGTCCAGGGCAATCCGGTTGTCTAAGCCTATATTGGTTAAAGAGTTGAGGGACTGTTGTAGTTCATGGAGGGCTCCCCCTGTTTCACTTGAGAGCTTTTCTAATTCAGCTGTGAGATTAAGAAGGATGAATTCATGTTCCATGTATCCTGCCCAGGGGACAAGGGAAGTAAAAGACTTTCTTGTCCAAGTTAAGGGGTTGTTGTCTAGGAGTCCTCTCTTGTGCTGGGAAGGTGTTGATGTTTCCTTGTAGATGGCCAGGCTAGGAGTTAAATATCCTACGGTGCACATTCCGTAAATGAGATAGGGATTTAGGCATGAAGTGGCCATGTATCCCGTAGGGGTGGTGTGCACGGAACCAGTGCCTGCCGTCCAGTTCATGGAATATGCGCATATGTAAACCATTCCCTCAGGAACACAGATTGTGTTGGAGGAGCTAGTTAAAACCATAGGAACAATGGTGCTACATGAGGAAATATTCGCTGGCCACAACGTGGAATAATATAAGGCTCTAAGTTTACACAGAGCAGTCTTAGTTTTGTTGCAGACAGGAAACTCTTTTCCCAGACGAGCAGGCTTATGTTTAGATGTTGCAGTATATAGGCAGATAGATGGAGAGGAAGTTAAGTTAACCAGAGTGAAAAGGGTGGCATACGTACTTGGTTTGGAAATATATGCTAGCTCTGAGCGCCAGGTTTCATTACCGAATCTGTTCTCTGGCTTAGCTAAATATTGTATGGGGCCTAGAGCTTTTGGGTGCTTGTGACAGACCCAGCAATTAGTGATGTTCCCTGATGCTATAGCCTTGGTAATCCTAATTAGTGAGTTTTGGTCCCATGGTTGTGGTTCTGGTTTTAGAGTGTTGTTTATTGTGCCTCGTCCTAAAGAGACCTGTGAAGCCACAAATAGGAATAGAAGGAAATTACTCATTGTGTCAGATTGTAGAAAAGGTCTAAGCAAGCCTTGAAGGAGTGCATAAATAAGTAAGCAGCCAAGAAGAGTTTTGGAAAGGATTATTGATCCAATAAAGAGTTATTCTGAGAAGGTTTTCACAGGGAAGAGGGAGGAATTGTAAGACAGCAGAGGAGTAGAAAGCCAAACCAAAAGGACATTAAGAAGTTTATAAATAATAACAGAAATTGAGAAGTAAACTTATCTGAGGGTTGTCTTTTTCTTGAAGAGAAACTTTTTTCCAATTGGTTCAAATTCCCATATCTTGCTTGATTTCTCGGGCTTTGTAGAGTTGCAATAAGGCTTTACTCGAGGTTAGTAGAGTTGAAATAAGTTTTACGCGTGTGTGACATATCCAACTAGAGATGACAGCAATGTTGACTCCTGTGGAAGTGGAGGACAGGACAGTAAAAGGCCCTATCCATAGGGGTGTTGAGTTCTTGGAGTTCCTTCTTTCCAGGTTCTAATGTATACCTGTAATCCTGGCGGGTATAAAGATGGGGAGCCCCCGGAGTTCTATTCAGGCCCCTGAGTTCTTCTTTAAACAAAATATTGTATTGCTTGTTGAAACTTAGCTAGGGAGGTGACACATGGTAGGAGTTTGGTAGCAGTCTCGACCCATAGGTCGAGAACTGCTAGCAGGGTCACCTAAGACCACCGGAAAACACAGATATTTATATTACAATTCATAACAGTAGCAAAATTACAGTTACGAAGTAGCAACAAAAATAATTTTTGGTTGGGTGTCACCATTGCATGAGGAACTGTATTAAAGGGTCAAGGCATTAGAAAGGTAGAGAAGCACTGCTCTATAGTTTCCCCAAGTAAGAAAGCTGAATGTATTCCCTCTCCCACCCTTGACTTTTTAAAAAATATATATTTTATTGATTTTTTAGAGAGGAAGAGAGAGGATAGTTAGAAACATCGATGAGAGAGAATCATTGATCAGTTGCCTCTTGCACACCCCCTACTGGGGATGTGCCTGCAACCAAGGTACATGCCCTTGACCGGAATCAAACCTGGGATCTTTCAGTCCGCAGGCTGACACTCTATCCACTGAGACAAACCAGTTTCGGCCCACCCTTGACTTTTGAGCTTGGCCATGGGACTTATGGATGTTAGGCATATAATGCAGGCACAGTGTGCCTCTTTTTAAAAAATGTTTTTATTGATTTCAGAGAGAGGATGAGAGAGGGAGAGAGAGAGTAACATCAATGAGAGAGAAATATCTATCAGCTGCTTCCGGCATGCCCCCTACTGGGGGTGTAGCCCACAACCAGGGCATGTGTCCTGATTGGGAATAGAACCAGCAACTTAGTGCATGGGACAACATGCAACCAACTGAGCCACACCAGCCAGGCAAGGCTTACCTCTTGTATCTCTGGCATTGCCATAAAATACAAGAAGAATGAAAGATGTATGGTACAGAGTCATCAGAGTGCCCATAGACCTATAATTCGAAATAGAATCAACCAGCTGAGCCCACTACAGGTCATCTGGCCCTCAAGTGTGTGAATAAGCCCAGCTGGGACTGCAATGCCCCAGCCAAATGCCGAAGTATGAGCACCTTATAAAGATGAAGTGAGAAATGTGTTTAAAGGCACAGTAACTAACAAAACTAGGACCTATGAAAAATATTAAATTTAAAATAAAGGATTAAAACTTTTTACAAATTTTGGCATAAATAGTCAAGCACATTAGATCTTAAACATGATTATGCTTGCCAAAAATAGGTTACTCTTTAAAATTCAAACACCAACCCTCCACCCCCTTCCTAACATACCCTGCCACGTATTGATATTCTGTTTTGGTAGAGACTAACACCAGGCATATTTATTTTTCCTGAATAACTTTATAAAGTTGTTAAAAAAACACACAAACAAACTTGGATATTTGGTCAGAATAAAACTTGGAAAGATTCCTAAATTGTATATATAATTCCATAAATTAAGTAAAGTTTTGCAATAGGAAATAATCCATCTTTTCCCAGTGAAATTATTAGTAATGCAATACTTTGGAAGAGGAGGGAGGACTCAGATACTAAAGTTAATATATATATTTTCCCCCAGAAAGGAAGGGAGAGGGAAAGATAGGAACATCAACGATGAGAAAAAATCACTGATTTGCTGTTCCCTGCATGCCCCTTACTGGGGGATCAAGCCCACAACCCCGGCATGTGCCCTTACCCGAATCATTGAACCGTGACCTCCTGGTTCATAGGCTGATGCTCAACCACTGAGTCACACCAGCCAGACTACCACTACTTCTTAATCTTATACATATTACTTATCCCCTGTCAGGCATAAAATAAATGTTTATTAAGCGCATACATGCCTATGTCTATTAGGCTTGTAGAAGACAGTCGCCGTCATGAAATCTACAACTAACGGGAAAGCAGCGAATAAAGTAATTATGAAGGATAATTTTAACTAGTAATAAGCACAATCCCCCTCCCCCCCCAAACTATACCCTATTTTGGAACTCTTCAGACACGTTTCTACTCCAGGTGTAAGCCATCAAATCTCAGCATTTCCAGGGGAATTCCCATGCTAAGATCCTGGGACCCATTCATTTTCTTCCCTACCTCTTTCCGGCGTTCTCCAGTTTTCCCTCCTCCACGACTTTGGAACAAATAACACCTAAAATGCAAACGAACCCCAAGAACCAGCCTCCCTACGCTCTTCGCACTGGGATCCCCAGCTGCCGCCGCGCTCCGCGCCTCTAGCAGTCAAATCTTCCCGCCGCCTCCGCCGCACGCGAACTCGCCGGAAGTTCTTGCCCGGAAGCCGCTGGAGCGCGCGCCTCGTCGATTTCGTTCCCCGAGACGCGCAGCGGACGGGGTCCCGCAGCGGTGCATTCTGGGAAGGCGGCCGGGCTCTCAGCTTCGTTTCCGGCGGAGGAGCAGCGGCCCGGTTTGCCGACAGCCCGCGGAGGCGCCGCGCTCCCCAGGCCGCCGGCTCCCCGCGGAGGCGCTCCGGGTTCCCCGCTCAGTCTCTGGCTCGCGCGGGGGTCCTCCCGCCGCTGGCCCGGCCGCCAGCATGTCCGGGGTGCGCGCCGTGCGGATCAGCATCGAGTCGGCCTGCGAGAAGCAGGTCCAGGAGGTGGGCCTGGATGGCACGGAGACGTACCTGCAGCCGCTGTCCATGTCCCAGAACCTGGCGCGCCTGGCGCAGCGGATCGACTTCAGCCAGGGCTCGGGCTCCGAAGAGGAGGAGGCCGGGGCCGCCGAGGGCGACACGCAGGACTGGCCGGGCGCCGGGACCAGCGCGGACCAGGACGACGAGGAAGGTAAGGCCCGGGTCTGCCCCTCGCGTCCGGCGGTCCGTCCGTGCGTCCCAGTACCCGCCCGGGAAATGCCACCCTGTCTCTTCTGTGCTGGGTGAGATGCTGTGTGTCCTTTTAAAAAGGTAAGAGGTTTATATGAAAATAACACCCGCGCAGAACAGTGACTTTGGTCTTCTTTGTTTTGTTTTTGTTAATCCTCATCCGAGGATATTTTATCCATTGATTTTTTTAAATTTATTTTTTAATATATTTTATTGATTTTTTTTTTTTACAGAGAGGAAGGGAGAGGAATAGAGAGCTAGAAACATCGATGAGAGAGAGAAACATCGACCAGCTGCCTCCTGCACACCCCCTACCGGGGATGTGCCCGCAACCAAGGTACATGCCCCTGACCGGAATCGAACCTGGGACCCTTCAGTCCGCAGACAGATGCTCTATCCACTGAGCTAAAACGGTTTCGGCTAGCCATTGATTTTTTTTTAGAGAGTGGAAAGGAGGAGGAGAGACAGAGAGAGAGAAGCATCGATGTGTGAGAGAGACACCATCTATTGGTTGCCTCCCGCAGGGGCCCCAGGATTGAGCCTGCAACAGAGTTACCTGCCCTGGATCAGAATCGCACCCGCGACCCTTCAGTCCACAGGTTTTTTTTCTAATCACTGAGAAAACCAGCCGGGGGGGGGGGGGGGGGGGGGGGGGGCGTGCGCGCGCGCGCGCGCTCTCTCTCTCTCTCTCTCTCTCTCTCTCTCTCTCTCTCTCTCTCTCTCTCTCTCTCTCTCTCTCTCATAGCTGGACAATTCAGTGCCCCGTATCGTTCTGCAAGTTTCCTTGAGTTATAGCGTTTGAAACATGTTACTGGTGCAGTGTTGACGTTTTAAATAGAGCTTTTGTCACTTGGCACACTGTGGTTAAGAGCCCTGGCGTTCTCTGCTTTGCCATTTTTGACCTGGGTGAGGTTGAACGGGTTCCTTTGTTTCTCTGTGCAATTGTGAGCGTCGATGGTAACACCTGTATTGATTGGAGTGTGAGATAAAGATTTAAGAGGTAGATGGAGGTCAATCTAGTCTGCCAGGATAAGCATATGGCTTTTATCAGGATGACAACTGAAAGCTTTTGAAGGATTTTCAGTAGGCAGATGATTTTGTTTAAAAAGATTATCCAGGATGCTCTGTAGTAAATGGGAAACAAAACTGGAAGGAGAGAGGCTAGAGAATTGTAAAAAAAAATATGAATGGCTTTGGGGTTCTCATTCTTGCCAAAGATAAAAAATGTTCACAATTCTTGTTATAGTAGTAGGCAACAGGAGTGAAGAGCTGAGTGATGGACTGGGGAAAATATTGGCCCACAGTGGTTACTATCCTTCATATTCAGAGCCCCTTCAACTTGCAAAGAAAAGAACAAGTCACTGGAAAAAGAAGCCAAACATATGAGCAGTCAGCTCACAGAGGAAAGACCTCAGATCTCTAGTAGGGAGAGGCAAGTTAAAACATCATTAAGATACTATTTTCATGCATAAGATTAGCAGAAATTTAAGATTGTTAATATTCAGGGTTTGGAAAGCCTTTTTGAGAAACAACTTGGCAATTCTGTACATATCAGAATTTTTTTTAAAAAACATATATTTTATTGATTTTTCACAGAGAGGAAGAGAGAGAGAGAGAGAGAGAGAGAGAGAGAGCGAGCTAGAAACGTTGATGAGAGAGAAACTTCGGCCAGCTGCCTCTTGCACACCCCCTACCGGGGATGTGCCCGCAACCAACATACATGCCCCTGACCGGAATCGAACCTGGGACCTTTCAGTCCTCAGACCGACGCTCTACTACTGAGCCAAACCGGTTTCGGCCATATCAGAATTTTTTAAAATAATTCTTTTAAAAATTTTTTAATGTATTTTTATTGTTGATAATATTATAGATATCTCCCATTTACTCCCCTACCCCCCTCTTCTCCCAGCCCCCACTCCTTCCCCTTCCCACCCTCCTGGTCTTCACCACCCTATTGCTTGTGTCCATTGGTTATGCGTATCCTCCTACATAATAAAAGAGTAATATGCAAATTAACCATCACTCTGCTACACCCGCAAGCCACGCCCATAAGCCAATCAGAGTGAGTATGCAAATAAATCCAACCAAGATGGCTACAGCCACAGAGAGCAGGAGGGAGGCTTGGGTTTCCCAGGCAATGGCGGAAGCCAAGCTTTTCGCCTGTCCTAGCCGGCCTAGGCCTCCCCTCAAGGTACAAAGTTTCAAGTATATAAGGTAAACAAATCTAAACAGAAATGATAGCAGCCATGGAGCAAGCAGGAGGCTTGGCTCTGCTCCAGACTATAAAGTTTC